CTCTTAATTCTAAACATCAGCCGAATTTCTTTAATTTCGTGAATCAAAGCGTGCCTGTACATGATTTCATTATATCTAATGTCATTTGATGGCGGAAACCCCATGAGGTGTTATCCCAACTCACAAAGATAGCATGACTCCTATTATTTCAAGCTTTCTGATCTACGGTAATGAGTAATTTAACATATAGGAGACTGTTCCTCATATCATAATCCCCACTCCGCCTTCATTTTGTTGGCTGGGAATAAGCCTCAGGTTTTTAAGTTATCTACATGTACTGTAGTTAGTAATTGCGGTTATGTTTAGGTTTATTTAGTCACTCACTTGTGTATTAATTTGAGGTATGTCTCTTGCTATGCTGTAATTTTTCTTCGGTCTTTACTGGCTGCCCTGCACCTGGCACGTCCGCAACATAATGAAGTGGTATTTCCGTCGTATAAAACTACATTTTTGATGTAAATCAGCGAAGACGACATAACAAAATAAACCTTCCATCAAGGATCACGAAAGTGTAGATAATAATTCCCGCTTCATTATGGCTGGTCATCAAGAGCAAGGTACAAATTGTAAACAAGAGTAGAGTCCATATTCACCCGATATTGTTTTTAAATTGTTAATCGTTTCATAACTAAGCAGCGTTTCTTGATTGACTGGTAAGTTGTTTAACATGGTCAGTGTAGCGTAAGTTTACCTTAATAAGCAGCTTTCATATGAGTAAAGAACCTTTATGTATAGATTACTAATGTTTTCATCACGAATTGACACCAGCCATAACAAAAGAATGAATCTCAGTTTAAAATCTGATTGGTGTGTCCACATACTAAACTACCATACTACTTTAAGAAAAATCTCATCTTTACGCTCTCGATGTTACAGATAGTGATTATTTAAGTAATAGCTCAAATTTCGAATCAGTATACTTAACGTTTATTGCATTTCAATTTATGCACTATCTGGTTGTTCGAATGCATGCTTCAGGAAACCTAAGATTTGTCACTCACACCATAGTTGTTTCCTCTTACTTTTTAAGACGTTTTCGTTATATTCGTTATCATTATAATGGACATACTGGAGGACAAATAAAACAAACAAAAACTAGAATATGAATAATCCTGCATATACATTTAGGTAATTGAATTGACTAGCATATACATTAATAATAAACAATCAAAGTATAGTAAAATTGAATGGATAACTGGAGCTAAGTAATATTGGCATTGGATTAACACCAGAATCAAATTACTTTGTAAGTAAATTGGATTTATGTTGACACTAGCACTTAGAATCATTTGAAGTTGTATTGGAATGGAAATAACACTGGCAATAGGATATCCAGCAATTGTATTGTGGTGAAATAAATCCAGGACTGAATTAGACCCGTCTATTTTGCATTATATTGAAATAAATCCAAACTGTTCAGAGTGTCAATTAGTCACCTGGTGTCTGGTATTTATTTACCAATGTAATAATGGAAAATGACTAGCAGAGAACCTAACAAAGAGATATTGGAAGGATTCACCTGTAAGGTATTCGAACTAATCATACAAATGAACACGAATTAATCAATAGAGTTGAACTAATGCATTTTACAGTCACATGCTCAGTTAGATATCGTATTCCGTAATGAATGTACAGTTATGTAGATGTAGTATATCTGTACCAAACAACATAGTTTGTCCAGTCATTTTATGGTCGCTTTTGCTTAATTGGTAAGTGGTGTTATTCTTTGAATACTTACTCTTCATTTACATCCTATAAGACATTCATGAAACTTGTATTTTGATGTCACTCTTGTCACTGATAATTTTTCCCACTAAAAGTAGAAACGCAGCAAACCAAATACGATAAACTCCTTTGTATGACTAGATATATGAGGTAAAATAAGTAATGAGTGAATATAATTAATTTATTAGGTGGTAATCGCTAACTTATAATGTCTTAGGTGTTTGTCAATAAACGTGTTTCTGATATATCATCATAGACGACAAGAAAAGACAGGTCCAGTTTGCCACAGATGGAAAAACCACTGGATTTTTGGATTATTAGATAATAAATAGTATACGTAATTCAACAGTATTGGGACCAGCTTGTCTAGGAACATAAAGCTTGTTGATTGTGCTTCTCAGAAACTAGACGTTTTAACTAATAATCTTAGCTTAGTATTTCGTTTTGTTCTCAGAAATCTAAGCTGACTGCCCTTTAAACAGTTTATAGTAATTTTATGGCAATAAAAACGAAGTCGAACAATTATTAGTGCTGCTAATTATCACCGTCCCATCTTTTTCAAAAATAGTTACTTGCAGTAGTACGGGTACATCCACTCTTTATCTTCCCTTAGATCCTAAGTTTCTATATTCCTTCGGTCTGGGCACCCGGGCAGTATCATAGCCCTCACACATATCGAATGAGATTTGTGTGGCGCATATGTATTTGGTGCCTCTTTGTACCAATATCTATGTGTTGAAATAAAATAAAATAAAAATATTCCTTATGGTTTTTTTGAACACTTTTATCTCACTGATTTATATTTTTCCGGATCTTATCTCCAACCCCTAATTTTCTGTTACTACTAATATTTTTACTACACCTACTACTCTGCGATTCACCCTGACAACTTCATTTCTGTGTTAATGGGGTGTGGCAGCTAGGGCCGATGTACACATTCGTCAGCCTCTACGTTTAGTTGAATGACTATTAATCATCACTGACCTTACTGGTTGAATTTTATAGTCTTCCGGTTGTCTGAAATTCGTTGTGGTAGACAGGAGAAACGATTACATGGTAAAATACATCCAAAACTATTGAGGAAAAGGATACAACTGATATACTGTCATTAGAGTCACTTTGGTCTACTATTTCTGCGGAGCATGCTACCACTATCATATCAGTTCTGGTTTCCTAAGTGTTTTCAACACTATTATTCAAACTTTTCCTGTTTACCTAGGATAGTTACCAGTATTTGTATGAATGTGATTATCGTCGGTTTATACCATATGTAAAGCCAAGAGAAGTATTTATTGCTACTGTGATGCATGCTACTTACGTTGACATGTATAAGTAGCATGTAACACCAATCAGAAGTGGAATGCCTGGCAACAGATGATTAACTTGAGGAGAACAGAAAGGAAATCAGAGGGAAATTGTAATAACAACAGAATAGGAAGAATCATCAAGTATATAAAAAACAACTGAATGAAAATAATGTAATTTATGTGTTTTTCACATTTTACGAAAACACTATAATTTTGCATTTAATAATAAATTAGTGTTCCCTCACCTGGATCTTGTTTACGACAACCCCGACTTTCAACCAATCATTCCCAGGTTTAAGTTTTTACATACTTATTTCTCCTTGGACAGCCGAATCGTATCCCTAACGACCGCACAAACACCGCGACTCAAGGCTGTGTACACTAACTCTGGTTATTTAGCTAAATAAGATCTAATGAAAAATGCTAACATGCAAGAGTTTGCCAGGTAGTTTAGTGTGCCCTGGCTGTACTAAGTGTTTCGTAAATAGTTAACCGTCTAAATTCTTGAAGAATATATCGACACACAAAAAATAGTATGGTTAACTAAGTTATTTTTTGTGAGGTGGAAATCTGTTCAGCATATGGTAACTAAAATTCGCCGGTAAATTTTATTTCTATTCATTTTGGGTAATTTCTTGTCAAAAAGTACAAGTCAGAAACACTACAGGCTAAAATTGATTATCAGCATGAAAATTTTTGAATATCGTTCTAGTTGGGTTATAATTTCCGTAATAATTATAAATGACTAACCTGAGGTGTAAGTGGTTCTTTGTACTAGTGCCGAGTAAGAACGATTTTTAATCGGATCGCTTAAAATATATTCTCTTGTATTTTTGCTCTGTTAGTAAACTCCATGATTTAAAGTAGTCCTCTCGTGTCCTGAGTCTTGCTTTACTCTGTTTATCTCTTATCAATCAACCAACAATAGTAGAAAGTGGTCGTTGAGTGTATGCTTAAAGCCTAGTAGAGTAAACATTTCTTACTTTCAGATACTGCTCAAACTAGTTGTATACTATTTTGCAAAGGAGACTGTACGCCTATTTACATAACTGATTAAATGGCATGTCGCTTTCAAGTGCAACTATAAAAGATAAAGGTCAAACAAGTATTGTACTGGTTCTAGGAATTGAAAGCTAGTCAGTATGTTGTACTAGTACAGACAGGTGAAAGTTGTGCCTGTACCTGTATGGTCAAACAAATGTTCTAAAAGTAGTTCGTTAGAGATCTAAGAGCTAGCTTTAAATCAGTAATCTGGATATCACCTACAATTGATGTTTCAATTTGTAAATGTGATCATGGTTTAAAGTTTCCCAACTAAAATTCACTGAACACCAATTAAATCGGTCTTTAATATTGCGTCCACTACTTTGTAGCAGTTAGCCTAACTGAAATCTTAGCTAAGATCTTTTCTTTTAAATTGGGACGATGAGAGATTGAGACCAGTCAAATGTGAATACGTCCAGTTTCTAGATTTTAGCTAAGATTTCAATCAATCTAACTGGGGAAAACGAACACCACTTGAAGTAACCATTTCTCAACTCGAGCATTACTGATCGAGTCAGAGCTTATGGCACACTGTCATCCTAATTAGTTACCTCCAGTGGTGTTCGTTAAGGTTATTCGCTTTCCCCATTTTTATCTAACATTGTCATAGACATGTTTTTAGAGATAACACTATCATCGTCTGACTTTCTACGGATTCATCTCCTAACAGGAGATTCACTTGTTGACTTAGACCCGACCGAAGCTGCTACCTTGACGTGGTGGTCGGGCTTGCCTATCGTGATGACCCATCCGAGCTATATTGGCTGGAACATATGTTCCTGTAGGTTCTACCATGCCAGGCAGGTCGATTGGTGAACGGTAAGACTAAAAGCAGCAACTCAAAGTCTGAGGGCGAAGTCGTACTGCTGACTGTACAGAGGTGTGACAGCAGTAAGGTGTTTCCTTCGGACAATCAGCATGACAGCGATGCTGCCTTCCCACAAGGAGGGGTGGGGTTAGAAAAGGTCGACCCTAAAAATGTCACACCTCACCTTACCTCACGGATTTCCGTCTCCGGCGGTAAGGCCATCTGAAGAACGGAGCTAACACGTCAAAAACCTTCTACAAAAAGGCCGTGCGCGACCGGCCTCAAGCAGTTGTCCCTTGGGCTCTGCGGTCACGCTCCCAGGTCGTTAAGACCAACACTAATCCAATTTCCTTTTCAGGTTCCTCAAGAAATACCCTTCCACGGTGTGGGCAGCCGGGAAGTGACATCAGCCCTCACACCCGTAACAGCACGGCTGACTTGTTGACTTAGAATACCCAGGTGATATCGTTCGGTTTGGTGAAGACACTGGCAAAATACCATCTTCCAACCACTTTAAGCAACAATCTGAACATGTCAATGATGCGGTTCTCTCCCTCGAAATATAAAATGTGACTTCAGGATGGGTTTGTGTCATCGCCTGAACTAATGATGGGTAGTGAAGTAGTTGAACGCATCGACCGCTTAACTTATCTTGGATGTCTCGTTGGTCCTGAGGTCTGACGAAATCTCTGCACTGATTCGAAGAGCTTTATCGACTTTCACCAATGAAATCTCAGTGACTAAGTCATAGTTAAATAGTTCAGACAACATCTTACAATCAGTAGACCACTTCAAACACTGAAATATAGTCAAGCTTGTTTCAAATTTGATATCAAAGCTGTTCAGTCACGTAATAGCCATATGGTAAGTAGTTATATACTATATGCCCGATAATTTATGCAGGTTTGTAAGACAACTTACTAATTCGTCTGTCATATAGAAAGGAGTTAAAGTCAACGTCAGTTTATTTGTCAGGGTTCTAATGTGGTGTGACAACTTAGGTCTGTACACTCATATCACAGTTTTTACATTGTATATGACTGATTGTTTGTCATTATGGAAGGATAGTGTAGGTCGGTACTATTAATCAGATACATGTTATTTGTTTATTTTTAAATATTAACTCTTGGATGTATTGAAGAGACACATAATTGTATGCTAGATACTCAACCCTTCTTATGTGTCATAATGTACCCATTACAAGTATTATCTCTCAATATCTGGATTTCTTCAAGATTTAACCGTCAACAATTTCTTTATTATTTCACCGGTTGGCGTATAGTGAACTTAACCAAATCAATACATTAGACTTTCATGCTTGTCTTTTGACACTCGCTTTTGCACGCAGGATGTGGCTGTTCAAGTCACTAGCCAGTACCATTTATTAGAATACCGTTAATTTCCTTATCCACTTATTATTTACTTTAATCTCTAAAAGGAATTTTGTTTCTGCCAAGTAGAAATTACCAACCTCGTTACCACTAAGTTTGTAGGGTTTAAGTATAGACTGATTTATTTTCAGATGAATCGCATATGTAAAATTTTCTTACGATCTACGTTTTTCAGTGGTGACAATTGATTTTAGCATTAGATAACTCACGTGTTTTGATATATAAAAGAAATTACTTCTGACGATAGTTGTGTTTTTTATAGTATTCCGATACTATATCCACACTTAATTTCATTGGATTTGTAGCTCAGAATTAGTCTAAATATGTCAACCCCAAGAACATATGAATCAATGAAGAAACTACTTGACTGTGCTAAATTGGATATCTCTTTCACATCAAACATATTTCAGTCAGTGAAATTTGACCATCCATTATTATCCGAAGAGTACAAATTGATTGAAGTGCCAAATTGGTTAGCCGATGAAGTGATTCATGGAAGAGGGGACCAAGCTATAACTTTAAAAGATGAACATAAATCTAATAATACAGGGCGTGTATTTGCTTGCATAAGTGACAAAACTTTTTCGGTTATAGAAGCAAAAACGTCTAATACGCTCCTTTTAGCCTCTAGTTGGTGGTTGCCTTCATCCGATGGGCCTAAAGAGAATTTAGTACTTGTTACACCAATTCAAGCTGTCAAAAATAATTACTTTGAACTTCAGCAATGTTCAGCTCCATCTTTAAAACAACTAAGGCTTTTGTTATCTCCATCTCTCTACTATGGTCCTGTTGATGACGAATGTGACTCAGAGAATAAAAGCTCTAGTCTGAACTATTTTGATCGTAATACTGTTGAAACCCGACTGCCATGCAGTAAGGTGGAGCTTAATGAGGCGTTTCGACGATTGCATGTGTGTGAAATCAATGGATATTTACGAATTCTTGATCATGAATACATGACACAGGTATTTTAATTGTGTATATCTTCATTACTTTGACTATCCCCAGATTTAATCTTACTGTTCTTAGTTATTTTTAATGAAGTCTTCTTGTTGCAGGTGTGTCTGTTTTTCGTTATGTAAACGGTACTCATCTTTATGCTTAACACCTCTCATGCCTTCAGAAAGACATGCAGTTACTTCTTCCAGCGCCTGTTTCACGTTCTCATCTCTGTAATTAACCGATTTGCTGAAGGCTATCCTTTTTATGCAAAGTTTATTAATACTTTCCGTTATCAGCAATGTCTATTGTGTATCAGATATGTCGAAATGTATTTTGAGCAGTTAACTTAGGCTAATAATAACTATTCAAAATCGTTTTTAGAGGTTCATGAGGATGAAAAGCTTTAATGAGTATTTGTTTTTGATTGCGAAGAGCAATGTATTAAAGAATAAGCAATTGGTTATTTAAGTGGACTGAAGGATCACTGATCAAAAACAAATCTACGATGAAAAATTGCTGTATATCCATATTATCGTTGATAAAGAGCAGAAAACTTCAGAACTTTAAACTGATTTAATAATCATAAGTTCGTCCTTTTTATCAAAGCGTTTGACCACTGATATAACAGGTCTGGGAAAAACTGATCAGCTTTGATTAAAGTGACAAAATAGTACGTTATTCATTTCATGGCATGTAAATGTGAGCACTATTTCTTGTCAGCAAGTTATAGCTTCTGATGTCTTAAATTATGGAAGTTATATTTTCTTACTGCCCCTCACATAATAATTGTGCCTCAACCGATTAAAAAAGTATGAGTAGCTCATAAGTTTCATTTATTATAAAGTTATGGTTTGTTGATTTTATTTGAAATGTAGTTTAGCTCGATTCTACCTTTTTTTCGTTTATTGCAGTGAAAAAATACACTAAAATGTTTCGGTCAGTCTTAAGATACAACCTATGTATAGCTCAGTATTATTTCGCTTACGTTGAGTTTAGTGTTGTAACGCAGTTGTAAGGCAAACTTTGAAAAATACCAATGAACCAAGTTGGGAACTTACAAATTATTTGCTTATAAATCCTGACATGAAGTGTGTTTTTGATGGCCTGGAGGTCTAGACACTCGACTTTCAGCTACCTGATCACAGGTACGAATCCTGCTCTATCTAGTTTGGTTTGGATAGACAGATAGTACCAATAGCCCTTACACCGCGATTACTATTCACAACAAATTATGTAAACTGTACTAGGTTTTTGAGTTATATAGCTTCATTGAATTTAAATTGGGGGCTACAAAAGTTTCTTTTTTCCTATAAATAGGTAGTTAGAGATCTTTTTGCCCTTGCTGATGAAAATGCATGGGACTGGCGTAAATATGGCTTCCCTTTGCATGCCTCAATAGAAGGTTTGGCAAATCAACACCTTCCGAATATTACCAAGCAAATTATGATGCTAATTTGTTCTCAGCTAGAAAATCGAAAAGCATTTGATTCTAAAGATGTATACGTCTACCCGCGGAATTCGAAAATTTGTCAAATAGTTGGGGAGCATCTACTATCAGTTATTAGCAGCTTTGACCTAAATGACTTCTTAACACTGTGGAAAGCATCAGTTCCCAACGGACTGCGACCGAAGCTACGTCGTCATTTAACTTGCGCTGGACGTGCATATTGTGAAATAACACCCTTACCTACAAACGGTACAAGCGTAAAACTGGAAGGTAATGATATCCGTTCTCGATTTCGATGTATTTCCTTGTTACGATCTGAGGACTTACCTGATGAAAGTGTTGAGGCGCGTCTTAATGCATTATTTGAGAGATGTCCTATGTGGCCCGAACCAGAAATAGGTAGTTTCCTAACAGAATTGTTACCCCCACAACCTCCCAGGAAAAAGTCTTCCTCTAAACACTTAGTCCCAGAAAAAGGGTCTCAAGTAGATACATTTTCTGACGTTTTGTATGCTGATTCTGATTCAGACTTCAGCTATGAAGATTATTGTACAGAGTCTACTGAAACTGTTTCAGCACTGGAAGATGTACCCTTACCAACGCCACCTGCCGTTTGCTCACTTCTAAACAAATTCTGTCGTGTTAATAATACTTCAGTCGGACGTGTATTAACTCAACGACATTCGAAGTAGAAATTAGCGTCGTATCTTACTTTGTATATCATCTGTATTCTTTAGATGATCAGGACGTTGAATAAATTTTTGTAAATGAAATTTCGTCAGATGAATAATCATGTCAATTATATTGTTTATTATTGTTTGTATAATGTTGAATAAAGCCATTAATTATAATTACTATTATCAATAATTTATGTATTAATATTGAGTTTAAACAGTTGTTCATTAGTTATTTATTTGGTTTGTGAAGACAAAGGGTGGGGATATGTAAATGTATTTAATCAGTATATCAAATTTTGGGCTGATGGAGAAGCGAATCGACCATGGAGAGAAACATGACGATCATATACGTTTATCCAGATATATAACTTAAAATTAGGCTTAAGTTTTCAGACAGTCAGTCAACCACAAACAACATAGAACTTGGCATAGTTGTGTAACAAACCACTTTATCTCATTTCATATCAACATCATGATTGGATATTAATTAGTAGATTAACTGATTATAATAATATCAAAAATATCACACAATTTTGATAACCGTCGTCTTCTCATTACATTATCGGAATTCACCATAGGGAATAATTGCTTTAAATACGAACAATAATCGAAAACTAAACATGATAAATATTAATTCATGTTTGTATTGGTTTTTTTGAATCTTCCCATTGATCTTTAGAGCTGCAAGTGATCAGTCTCTTATTAGAGAAGATTCAAACTACCAGTACAAAAATGAATTAAACTTTGCCCCATTGCACAAGTCAGTGGCTATCTGGAATCAGTAGCAAAGTGGATAACGCGATGGCATTTGAAGCGAACGGTAATGGGGAAGAACTCATCGTTATCAATCCCACTAATTTCAAGCCATATCTCCTATGGTCTCCAATCACAGATTACTTCATGCATCGATGATTCCGCTTGACCATCAGCTTAGCCAGCATAGCTGATCCACGTAAACGGTTGCTGAGTATGCTTAGGTCTCTTAATTAATAATTTGGTCTCTATGCACCTTGTTTACAAAAGAAAGTGACTTGACTCTACCTAAGTGTTATTTTCTCTGAGTTTCGTAAATTTAATAGATTTCATTCGTTATATAGTTAACAATAGTAATCTGTTTGTACGCTTTTGAGGTTTACGAATGTTACTGTAATACGAACTGTTTCTACATCAAACTGCTGGATTCAGAAAAGTTTTAAACTTGAGGGTGGGGGTCAAGTTATGATTTTCGGTAGGATACGATTCAGAATTATAATAGGATAGACATATCACTTGATATCATTACAATGATCAAGTTAATAAAATGCTGGTAGGGAAATGTTGACTACTGTCTCTTCATTTCTGAGTGATGATAATAATGGGCTTTCGTTTGATCTATTTTTACCCTGATAACCCTACAAAGACTCACTAAGTATTAGTGTTAAGAGGCAGTAGGCAAGAATAATGAAATTTAGTTGTGAGAAGTTACAAAGTATTTATATAATACATATACATAGCCTTCAAACGTCCAGTCGCATATTTCGGTGTGCTGTGAACTGTCTTCTCATCTGGTCTGGTTTTGCCAACCTTGCGCTTTCGATGTACTGAAACTACACTCGGTCTGACAATTGTTGCAACTTCGATGCCGCGTTACTTACAAACAGTCCAGTGAGTGGCGTTCATTTCACTAGTTCCTCACCATGCGCAACATAAAATCACATATATGTTCACTCACTATTCGGAATTACACAATGTACAACGGTGAATAAGATGCTGAACAAACTGAGTAATTTTGGATTGTTCACTTATTGGGTGAAAATCAAATGGTTGTGAAAAGATAATTATCCCAATAATCAGTGTTTTTTTCCAACATCAGTTTAATTCGTTACTCCAGTTGAAACATGTTCTAATTTACGTTATTTAAATAGCTGTGATTTTGGTGGAGTTTTGTTCTCTGAGCTGGATGGTTTGGTCGTGGAGCTTTCATCGTTCTTCTGAACGGCATCATATACGATCATTGTCATATTGCATAAAATAGTTTCCGACCAACCAAATGTCCATTTGTTGATTAGTTGGCGCCACTACCTATCAGGCAGATAAATTATATAGAAACTGGGGTCGATGAAGATATGTAAGCTTTTGGGGTTTACACCATTGTGATTAACACCCATCACTTTTAACTATGAGATCACGTTAATAAGCTTGAATTCATATATTAAGATTTTGTTTGTGTAGTGTAATTAGGATTTGATCCATGTAGTTAGTATTTTTCGCTTTTTAATTAAATTTCTATTTAGTCAGCTGAAAGCAGTCAGTCTGTTGCTTCTGGTGTTTCATATGAATTAAGGTTATAAGTGACGGCTGGCCATCTATTTCAATCAAGTGAATCTCGTCCATACATCATTTTCGTGATCAGTTTCTGGAACTGTAGAATATGACTGCTTGATACTTACCACATTTGAATGACGTAATTCAGCTACAAAGTACGTGTTTATATACCTAGTTTTCAGCTACTTTAGGTAAAGGATAATGGTACTTCACAATTTTTCAAACGGAAATAAGTCAGGAGGGGTTCGAACAACAACGTGATGATTTAGAGACGAGCGATCTGACCATTAAGCTACCTCTCTGAGCACCACATTCCTCACTTTGTCTTGTCAGTTGATAGGTTCAACTAATCAAAGCTATTAGATGTGTTTCAAACACTGTGTGCACAAAATTATGAGTAAGCAGCTAATGAAAAATATGATATAAAAGATAATGAAGTTATTTGGTAAAAATAATTTAAGCAATACAGCTTAAACGTCATTGTACAACAATTGTCTCTGAATTTATGACCGATTATTTAGGAACACTATTTACTTATTACTGCAATCATCATGACATACCATCAATGGTAAGATTTTTTATTTTTATAAAGATTCTCCAGCTTTCAAGATAAGTAGCTAACAATTGTTTACAATAAAATATTTTCATGATTTAATTCACTATGAATCAACAAAACCCTAATAATAAGTGCACAAATTGAAATCAAACTTTCCTGTTTCATGTACCTCCTCAGTTGGCCTAAACCTTCCTACAATCGAAGTTGTAAATTTTGTTTCGTTTTAACGTAAAAGTAGCTCTGCATAAACTGTTTCAATACAGAATGCATCAAGTCATTAGTAAAACAATAACAAATTAGAAGTGATATTGTTATCTAGTTGAGGGTAGGATTTTAGTTATGTTCAAAATGAAATTAAATCCATTATGATCGCTTTTAGAATTAACACAAACTCTCAGCTTTTTGAGTTTTTGATTTGCTAATTTGTAAGTTGGTTCAACGAATGCCCCTATAAAACAATTTCAAGTTTGGCTTACGATATCGTCTGTGTATGTCTTTATTTGCTGGCTGGACAAGTAACAATACAATAAATAAAATGGAGTAAAGTTCCAAACTTGTATTGATCACTTAATTATTAAATGCAGATTTGTTTTAATAGCCAATCAATGTAAAACTGCACGTATAAACATTAGAGTAAACCAATGAAGTTAAGCTTATGTTGAATCGTATTATAGCTTTTTATTCTAAACAAATATATAAACTATAGAAACTTGAAAGCTAAGGAAGATTAATGATATCCTAATTATTAAAATGCAACAAACATCTCTTCACCTTATGTAAGTCGATTATTTGTACATAATTGTATTAGTTAATTCTTCTGGCTTAAAAAAAGAAACATTTCACTGTAACTGATGAGATAGGCTTTGAAAACTGTCATCATTGTTCTGATTTATTGTTCACCATCAAATGAGTTGTTTGTGCAGTATATCTGAGTGTCAGTTATACATCTGTTACTAAAACAGGAAAATGGACCAAGTTTTTTTCTCGAAGATGAAGTTGAAAACAAAAGCCTCTGTTGTATAAGCCTATGACAGGTCCCATAATTGTCCTTCGTAAAATAAAGAGATTTATGTAGCAATAAAGAATCTACTCCACGCATGTGCTGAACTATGATCACTAAGGTTTACTGATAGCTATAATTATAACCGCTAAATGATACCGCAGCTTTCTATATACATAATTTAGAATGAGAGCTGTAAATCCAGTGATAATTATACTTTTCAATACCGATGACTTACAAATCCCACCTTATAATCTAAAGATGCTGTTGAATATTATCCGGTTTCAACTTATTTTCCATTTCGACTAGTAGAGGGTTAAACGAAATGACATATGGCTATTTAAAGAAGATACAATGAATCTCAATAAAACAGACTTGATGAACTAGTGTAAAGAACAATGGAAACGTAAACCGAATTGTCCTATTAAGAGAGATCACACACTACATTTATAAAATATGAAGCCAATAAATTGAATACAAAATTTGTACATCCTCTTCGAATTGTCTCTTACAAGCTCCATCGTTCTTTGATTCCTGTTGCCGAATGGTCTGCTTTTGTTTTTTCATTCTCCTCATGTTCCTCTTCTGTCATTAACAATCCTGCTTTCGATTCTCGATACATACTACTTATATCTGTCCGTATGAGTAGCATACAGTAAACTAGTAGATCGTTTGAAATCTCAATGAATATTTTGTTATTTACTCTTGTGGCCACGCAAATCGTAAACGCGTTAACTTGTGATATATTTTTTCTATTATCCAGGCCATCTTCATTCACTTTTATCGAGCAACTCGAACTAGGTTTTCTCATTTTTCGCTTGCGATATTTGAACTTTGGCATGATAGTGTGTGTAATGTGTACTCAAACGTAGAAAGATGTACTTTTGACAGCAGTTTACATCGAGATATATGTGGCACGAGATAATTCGTGGCTCCTGGTTAACTCTGCTTGACCCTACTAGAAATAAGTAGCTTCTTGTGGTTGATTTTTCTAAAATGAAAGTTGCTTTGCCTGCTAAGTCAATTTATTTTTTGATTATGTGTTTTAAATAGCTTGTCGTATGGAAAGATGTGAAATTGTTTGATGAAACCTGAAGCTTTACACTAATGAACTAAGAATAATTCACAGTTAACTTCATTCCTTAAGAAAATAGGCTCACTTTTACTATTTCAAAGGTTTGTAAACGAGGTCTTGAGGGTATTCTCTTCATGCTTGTTGTCTGCGTTCTTCTGTTTTATGTGTGTTTCTACCTATAAAATAACTTACCATCTAGGTTTTAAAACGCTCTTCAGTCTTCTCACCTTTTGTAGTCTTACATATATTTGACGATGTATCCACTAACGTAGTCGAAACCTCCCAGCTATAATCCTATAATCCTTTAAAGACTTTTATGATTGTGAGTGAACAATGTAAATTCTTATCAGCTGAATTAGTCATTTTACTTGATTTTAATTATGATGAAAACAAATGTATAGATTCAGTCGATCAATTATTAATTGATACTGCTAGGTTTCGGATATTGTTCGTAAACGCATTACAGAAACCGTGAGTTGAAACTAAGTTTAACCAGATTTTGTTACACTTATGGTTTGAATGCTTTTGTTGAGGAATATAAACACAAAAAACAATCAAGAACAAGAAAAATTGTATAAAAGCATCTGTGTGTTTATAAAATATAAATTAGGGACCTTAAAGTTTGAGAAAGTAACAAAAGTTTGAAGACGACCTTCAATCAGAGAAACTGTAAAGGACATCTTTTTCAAGTTTTGAAGTACGATTTTAATTAATTTTTAACACATTGCACTAGTATCATTTTGAATGTTTGATAAAAATGTAACTAGATTTGCTTATACTCGTCACTTATTTCGAATATATATATATATATATATATATATATATATATATATATATATATATATATATATATATATATATATATATATATATATATATATATATATATATATATATATATATATATACCAAGAATTTAATTCTAAAAGAGTTCTGAAAGTTTACGGAAAATATTATTCTTTATCTGGATTGTGTAGTCGCAGAAGTATCAGAGATACATATAAAACAAATAAATAATATCAGAATGGGTTTTGTGGAGATTTTTTAGAAATTTCACAGGTTGAAATCATGAGTCAATTGAAGCTAGACCACCATGGAAAACCTGGAAGCACTGGACGGCCGTTTCGTCCTAGTATGGGACTCCTCAGCAGTGCGCATCCACGATACCGCACCCAGCGGGATTCGAATCCCGGACCTACTGGCTTCGCGCGCACTGAGGAGTCCCATACTAGGACAAAACGGCCGTCCAGTGATTTCAGGTTTTCCACGGTGGTCTAGCTTCAATTGACTCATGATTTCAACCTGAGATAAATAATAGTCGTTATGATAAATGCAGGTGAGTAATCGCTAAATGTTACTTATAAACGTGTATATTTATTTGCAGATTTTTGTGTAGTCTATTGATATTTATTCAACAGTGCAATAAAACTGATGCTCAGATATTTCGCAATTTATCGGTTTCTATTAAAAAACGACTGGATGACTTAATATCATCATTAACAATAGACGAGATTGTTGAGCAAATGGCAAATGGTGGCGCAGGTCCAACATACGGTCCTGCACCGGCTATACCTAGATTGAAGATCAAACCCTATCAATGGCGTACAAATCCAAATCAAGGTCTTTGTACTTCATTTGTAAGTCACATTAATCAAGCTGCCTCGTTTGATATACTGGATGTCTGGAAAATTGCTTTCGCAAATGGCTTAGAAATGCGAGCTAAATGGAATCAGTTTAGTAAACAAAATAATTACCGTGTGGGTTTTTTATACATTCATGTAATAATAGTTAATCTTATATTTCATCTTTTATGAAATACAATATTATGTGCTTGTATGAATTATATTTTGTGGTGCCTAACAATGAAATCCTGGGTAGGAGTTTTGCTCATGTTAAAACTAATTACCATGTTGGATTTCTCAACAAACTGAAACATGAACTGCAAACTTTACACGAATATAGCATAATACAATAGACTATTTATATGTAGTTCCTAATTACCATCAGTAATGGTCTTAAAAATTAACTTCGACGAAAACTGATCTAACCATCACTTAGCTGAACATCGGGTAATTGGTGGAAAATCATTGGTCAGAATATTTTATTTATTCTTCCTTGGAAGGCTTGAAGTACAATAAAGCCGATATGCCATTCATTAAAACTGTTTAATTTACTGTGGAGTGATAGATTTTGAATTAATAACAGAAAAAATTACAGTATACCGTAAGTGATGAAACAAGTATGCAAGTCATATGAAGAGACAAACATTTAAATTATCTTTCCGTACTTCTATCTACTTCAACTTCGCTCAAAATTCCACTGATTAAAACGGAAATGAGGAACACATCCTATGCAATTCAGTCATGTAATAATTCAGGTTGTTAAAAGTATCTAAAACCTTAGGGTTAATGAATGGAGATCAACAAGCCTGACCTCAAATAGCCACTGATTGTGAACATACAGTACCATACTAACTAAAAATGGAACATTCGAAAATAAAACAGAAGTAATCAGTGATGATCACTAGGATTTGTGATACCCAACTTCATACACATGTAAAGTAAGAGTAGCCGAAAACCACTGATTGAGTGTAAATCACTTGGACGCATGTTTAAATTCAATGATAACAAAGAGTCAGCAGATAGATTGTTTGTGTTTCGGTATTAAATACTGATCCGGATTTAACATTTTACGTGACCTATTATCTACTGTTTAGTGTGAACCTTCTGTGACTGTTAGAAACATTTCTTTACCACCACTGATGCTTCAATAAGTTGTCTTATTCAAACGACTTTTAGGCAACTCTTCTCTACATTACGCTATCTAGAAGTTGTTAGGTAATACCCAGAAATCTGAAAAAGTGTTTCAATGGTTATGTGACGTACAGGTAGTCTATACTATCTTTTGGATTTTGAATGCTTTCTAATATGATCTGTCATATAAAATGCAACGACTTCTTTGTACGGTTATCCAGTTGGCCGTTTTTATTGTGGCTTGCATATACTTACAGGGATCTGATGTTATGTTAAAACGGCAAAAATACCCATGTGAAAGAAATTTGTCATGGAGTAAGGTATAATCATTTCATAATGGAAGTTTATTTGGGTGCACACTTACTCTGCTAATCATTCATCGTATATATTAAATGTTTTCGAAGATATGTGTTTTGAAAATACAAGACAGAAAACTTAAAACGACTCATTATTATTTCTTTGAAATTTTGATGAAACTTTGTTTTTTAGTGAATAGAATAGACCCCTCTGTGTTCTGAAAACTAATGAAAAAAGGTGATTTTTGTGAGTAAGCTTGTTATATCTCCTGAGTAAAAGTGGTCTTCTGAAAGAATCCAGGAATCATTATTTATAAATAATCGCTTGACCTTAAGTATAATTTGTATATTTACTTGCTAGATACAAAACATGTTAACTTCCTAATTATGGGGTTGTGAATAACCATTCCCTACATTTCTTTCAGGATAATACGGGAATAAATGTGTTTGCACCGACTGTCAATCTTCTTCGGCATCCTCTTTGGGGAAGGAACAAGGAGACTTATGGGGAAGATCCATATTTAGCGGCTGAATTAGCTAGAGCATATGTACATGGGATTAGTGGTTGGAATGTACCAAACGATGGTTCAATCAAGGTTAATCTCTAAATAATTGTATATTTCACTTAAATGTTATCAATAATGTTTGTTGATACTATAATTACATGCGTTTTTCTAATTTGCCTTGAGAGCTATAAAATAATATAGGTATTAAGTCTAATATTAAATTAAAAAGCTAACTACAAGTACATTTATTTTGTTTGTAAATAATATTTCATCGTTTAGACTTCCTTATTATTAAGTCAGTCAGTCAGTCAGTTACAACGTAGGACCAGGCACATATGTGCATCGGTCCAGGTTGCCATACCGCATCAGCACAACAAGATGAACACCGGATTCATAACAGCGGTTAGGTAAAAGGTGGTAATATATAAGAGAAAGATTGCATATAGAGATATAGTACAAGAAGAAAGAATTGGTTCGTAGAAAGAAAGATATGAAGCGATTTTAATCTCTTAGTTTAAGGGAAGACAGGGAGTGTATACACCAACGCCATTGTGATCGATTTTGAGCCATGTCACCAAGAGTCTCCAACCATTGGTTACGATAGTCACGCGGACCCCAACCAAGTAGTCTGCATCTACCAACATGGCTCAGACTAGAAGTTAGTGACTTCAAGCACTGATGCCACGTTTTGGTTTGGCCGCCCCTAACTTTCTTCCAACCATTTCCAATACCGGATAGCATTGCACGTCGTGGTAATCGGTGTTCAGGCATACGTAACACGTGGCCCAACCATCTCAGTCGATGAATATTCATAACCTCATCAACTGATTTACCATCATTTCCTAATACCCTGCGTCTAACCTCACTATTACTTACCCGATTATCTCAGCAGACGCCAGCAATATTTCTAAGGCATCTGTGGTCAAATACTAGTAGCTTACGAGTGTCTTCTACCCTTAAAGGCCATGTTTCGCTGCCGTAAATTAAAACAGAACGGACTGCCGCGCAGTATACTCGTCCTTTTATTGATAGACGGATATCTCGCCTTCGCCACAGGTGACGTAAGTTGGCAAAAGCCAAACGAGCTTTTCGAATCCGTGCTGAGATTTCGTCCGATACCAACCCATTAGGGCTGATCAGACTTCCAAGATAAGTGAAGTTGTCAACGCGTTCGACTACTTCACTCCCTATCCTTAGTTCAGGTGTTAACGCAGACCAGTCCTGAAGCAACAACTTGCATTTAGAGGGGTGATCCAAGTGATCCAAGACAATTGGTCTGAAACTTTGGTACTAAGTTTCCTTTCTGGTATCTCTCATTGGAAATTTTTTTTCGTAGTGTTGGCATTTTATGGATTGCCTACGATCTTTTAATGTTCGATTAAATAAGTAAGTATATGATAACATTCCTAAAGAAACCGTGATGGAAGGATATTTGTCATTTGACTTTAAGGTGTTCATACTAAAAAGATGGAATGCTGGCTCTGGAGCAAAATATACGCCTAGAACTGTTCAGCAATAGATATGTGTTCTTGTTGTATGGCTAAAATGTTCAGTTAGCTTATTTCATTTAATTCATTAACCTTTGGTCAAAGGAAATGTTTTTTTTAAAGTTTAATATGTGACCTTTACTCTCCATTATGAATATGGGTTTATTAAGTAGACTAATAAAATCTCTCAATAGTAATTTATCAGAAAATAACAATATCTACTCAACAATTATACTATCACTAACTTAGGGTGATATTTTTTTGAATAATTACTGACAAGTATAAAGTCACTGAGAGTCAGTTTAAACTGTTGATCTTAAACCAATATGATGGTTAAAAATCAATTTCTGTTACTTACGGAGACAAGCCAATAGAATTATATATATGTATAGAAAATACTTCCCATATTCTTATTTATCAAATGTATTCTGTTTTTTTCCCGGATATTGTCCAGTTATATTGGTCATCGTTTTAAGTTAATAGGACACATAACCTTGAAAATGTAGTGGTCAACTTTCAGCATTCATTTAACATTCAACTGCTTTTATATAGCAACACTCAAGTAATGTCCTTAATTTATAGCGAAATTGTATTTCGGAAGACGTTATCAGCTAAAACCACGCGATTAACTAATTTCAGTGTAATAAAGGGATAAGGTCTAACTCTATACAGTACTAAGATCATACACAATTAGGATTCGTAAGAGAAGAAAGTAAGTTAGTAAAGAAATAAGTAGGTTGGTAGTGAGTCATATAAAGTTGTTATACAGACGCATTAGGAGCTTAAAGATGATAAATTATAATTATGGGAAGAGTTTCTATTAGTTAGTTAGTTTAATTAGAAATCTAAAGAAGAAACATAACTGTTTATAAACCATTATGCGACTGATGAAGCGAAATAAGTAATATCCTTTTAATATACATTTGGAATTACTATTTTTCATTAGTTATAAATAAAGAAAAAAGAATTTTCAGAAACATTAGTAGTTTCTTTCGAAATGTTATCATCAGTCCCGTTATTTGTTATTTATCTCAATCAAATTTTAAATGACCAACTCTAGTTGCCTCACTTCAACTTCTAAACAAACAACATGATAGATTATTGTTAACTGTAATAGAACACGTTTTCCTTTCAATGACTATCTTCTCGTAAGCATACTCTGATACGTTAGTTACAGATAAGTGAATTCTTCTGTTTATCTTACTGACTAAAACACGAAGTTACTGCCATTGTTCGGGCTTTTATAGTTAAACAGGGCTGACAATATCAGTTGCTGTTTGTATACAGGCTCACCGTATTTAATTTACAATTTTCTTGGTAATCATAATTTGACTGTTGTAAAGGTAAATGTAAAGGTAATAAAATATGTTTGTACTGTTTGTAAATCTATAGATTTCTAAATGATATTTGTCTAGTTCGAGCTCTATAATTAAAATGGAATGTATACAGCCTGGGTAGTACAACAGGTACCAAGAGCTTAAAATCTTATTATTATCTTCTATCACATATAAACAGGATGGCTGACTGAATTTTAATTATTATTATATTTAATATACAGAGTTTAGACGTTGTATCTCTTTGTAGAGCACTGAACAAACAATCTGGAAGACAAATGAACATAAAATTGTTTATTCTTAACTTATCCCTTTACTAATTTCCATCAGGTAAACTTACTAACAATAAATCCAATCAGACAACATGTTGTATTGGTTGGTGCAAACTGTAAACACTATGCTGCGCATTCCGGACCAGAAAACGATCCTGTTTCAAGGTTATCTTTTGAAGCTGATGTCCCGGAACACGACTTGTGGATGACCTATTTCCCTGCTTTTCGTGCATGTATGGAAGCTGGAGCTGTTGGAGTTATGTGTGCATATAGCGGAGTAAATGGCACACCAGCTTGTGTAAATCACTGGTTATTAGATACCGTACTTCGAAAGCAGTGGAAATATCCAGGTTTGTGATATAAAGACTAACTTACATTCATTCTATCACTATATTATATTTTTCAAAAAGAATGTTTGATGTTTTATCTAGATTCATCATTTATTTGTTTCCACATGTGTAGTTTAGATGCCTTGTTTTATCCATCAATAGATTTATGATATTTAAACTCCTAGACAAGAAGTCAATTATTGGAAAAGATATTCGATTCGAGTACTAGTACATTTCAAAAGTAGCTACATAAATGTGTCCTCATAAAATTTATTCGCTTTTTCTAGTTTTGGTGTAAAGAAGACAGCTTACCTAAACCAGTTTTGCCTTTCAAACAGAATTGCGTTAAGTTAGACATTATATTGCTAAACTATCAAACTGTATTGTGTTCGTCATAGAAGAGATAAGTTAGTTGGATAATTAATAGTTCATATTATCTAGGAAATAATTTTAGTTATGGCATATTTTCTTAAACACGGACTGTGACTGAATCCGAAAAAACTCATACGAAAATTTTATTAGAATCAGAATTTTCACAGATTGAAATCATGAGTCAGTTGAAGCTAGACCACCATTGAAAACCTGGAAGCACTGGACGGCCGTTTCGTCCTAGTATAGGACTCCTCAGCAGTGCGCATCGACGATGCCGCACCCAGCGGGATTCGAACCCTAAAACGAAACAGCCGTCCAGTGCTTCCAGGTTTTCAATGGTGGTCTAGCTTCAACTGACTCATGATTTCAATCTGTGAAATTTCTAAAATCTCCACAAAACCCATTCTGATAAGAATCAGAATTGTTTGTATAACCAGTAAGTCATCAGCCATATGCAACGTAGAACCTATCTATAAACAGTCCTATTCTGTACTTTTTAACCACCAAGAAGTGATTACAGTAATGGCTTTCAGTTTAACTAATCTTATTCAATATTTGCATGATTTTTTCCCAATTTTCCAGGTTTTGTAATCAGTGATGAAGGTGCCTTACAATTTTTGATATCGAAACATCATGTTTATTCGTCTTTACAAGAAGCTGCTTTAGCTGCAGTTAAAGCTGGTGTAAATATAGAAAATGCATTACCTAATGATGTTAACGTTTATTCTGAATTATTAAACCTTACAAAATCTGGTAATGTGACTGAAGATGAATTACGAAATCTAGTTCGTCCTTTGTTCCTTGCTAGAATTCTAGAAGGTGAATTAAATTCGCCAGAAATGGATCCATATGCTCATTTATTGCCCAGTACAGTATGTTTTTGTAGCGCTTTGATAAATTTATATTTTGTTTTCTAAGTAATTAGAATCAGTTTTGATATTAATGAAGATAGCTTATAGAAATTTTCATACATAAAAATCTCATTAGAACAGTCAATCAGAAACGACAAAAATATACCTTGGTTTTTGCAAGAATGAATATTACGGTATTCATAACGAAGATGCTTGAGAAGATAATTGATGTAATATTGAAGTTTTCTAAAGAAGAAGTCATCAGTCTTACTAAACTGACTCTTTTAGCGTCTCAATAGATCCTTTACAAAGTCATGTTTTTCACATATAAAGTTATCTTTAAACTGAAAGACACCACCATAGCACCAAGCCTACGCTATTGTCTTTGATAAGGGTATTACAACAACCATTGTAGTATGTAAATTCAGTTACGGTTAATTTCTTAGCATCTACGTTTTTCTCCATTAATCTCATATCATATCTTAAATGGATAACATGTTTAGATTTTCCGGTCAAATTTTCAGTAAATAATGATAATCCTTATTCTTAATTTAACAAATAATGTAGAAAAAATTCGCGATCAGATATTTGAAATAATGACGACCAAAAGAGATCAAAATAAACTATGTATAATGTATTTTCACTTCAAATAACTAGTTGGAAACCATGGGAAATTTTATATTCGTGCGGCGAAACTTGCACGTATTATTTTTGCTTTATTTGTTACCCAGTCTGCTACAAACATATCACTTACTACTCAAATAGGCACTGTAGTTTCTGTTATTAAACAAAGTTGAAAAAAAAGTCGGTTAAAAGCTGGTGTTCATGTTGGATCAAGAAGAATGATGAGAAAATTCCATATTACATGAGTAAAAACTGCATTATTTTTGATAAAATTAGATTAGTTTCCATCAAGAATATAATATAACTAATTCTTAAAATTCAGCTGTATTATACCGTATTACGAGTAAGCCAACTACACGGATAATGAAGTTTGAATGAGCAAATAGTGAGCATGTGACTTAAGAGTTAATTGCAAGATGCCAAATGTCCAAAATTCATCAAGTTTGGATTCATACGTATACTTTTGAGAAGTTATAATTGCAGTGTCAGTCACTTGCAAATACGCTGATAATCCATGAGCTTCTACTCACCTCATATCATATGGAAATACATAATAGGTTGAAGTTGAGCAAACACTTTGTTCTACTGCTTTATAGATTAGATCTTTAGGTGAAATGCTTTGAAAGTGGGTGCCTTAAGGAGACCACCTGCTTCACTCTGGGACTTAGGGCAGTGTCCGAGCCCAAACACAAACTAAATGATGACTACAACTAAAGAAAACCATTTACACTTTAATCCCAGTGCCTGCAAATCATACTCCAAACTATTTGTTAACATTCGTTTTTATCGTACACTACGTCACTTATCTATTCGCCCTTTGTTTACTGTGTTATTTTACAAACCACACAACAGCTCGTCTGTAGTGGAAATTCTGTCCTTTCTAAACGATCCTAAGTGACTGACTGGTCAGAAGTTGAATGTTACCACCGAATACGAACTCTCAAGTTGTCTTTCTGAAATTATTTGTGGCTTTTAAACTAGCCTCCTGCAACGCTCGCACAATAATGCAGATCGGACAACGGATAGGTTTGGGTATGTCTTTGGAGGTCCTAACACCGATATCTGTTGTCTATCTAATATTCATACTCAAGACTAGTGAAATACTACGAATTCGCATGCATTTGTCTGGGGATCTTGTGGCACTTTTTCCAGATTTCGCTGGAGTTGTTGCAACACACGTGCGGCAAAATAGAAACACCACTAATTGATCAGATCCAGATTAGCAGTTGGTTATGTGCTGTTAGATTAGAATACTTCAGCAAATGGTTGTGAAAAACAATGTATTTTCATCATCTACGCCCACATTTCGAATGATTACAGCCCGAATGAGGTCAATAAGAGTTTCACCATCAATTAACTATCCTTCTATAAAAAGTGCGTTCGACAGATATTGAGATAATAGCCGGGGAGTTGAATGCACAAGTCGGGCATCAAGGCACAAAAGAAAGTGGTTTACATGACCGATGGGGACTTGATGGTCGCAGGTCAGATAATGCTGATTGTCTACTGCAACTGTTTGCAAACTAAATCCTGTTTCTGGCTAGCATTAACTATCGACACAGTTATCGCCGAAGTGCTACCTGGTGTTCTCCCTCCACATCTCATTGCTAGACTCAGAGCGATCACAAAAGTCATCAGCTACGGCTGAAGCGGTTGTGTACAAAACTACCGCTCCCTTTGGAGTACCTGTTTGAACCCTGATAATGCCCTTGTTTTTGCTAATCTTGCCTTGCGACTCAGTGGCGAACAAATTCATCGTCTTAAAGGAATCAATGTCAGTAAATTGGCTGCAGCTTTTCTTGCAACCAAATATCAAACCGAACATGATTCAAGGTTAGCTATGAACGCAGTGAAAAGTATGGATAAGAACTTACTGCTTTTCATGACCCTATGAAAATGGCAAGCAAAGTCGCTTGTGTCTTCACGAAACGTCCTGCTCATAAGCATCGAGTCTTTACAAGCTCCTTACAGCTCGTTGAGACACGTTTGTCTACTCCGGGTAACCGCAAGTTTGACGATGAATGAAGTCTGTTACGTAGTGAAATTTTTGTAAGTTTGCGTAAGGATTGAGAAGGTTGTTGGTCAGATAATGCTAACGAGTTGGAAGCACTCGGTAGCTACCGGAAGTTCTTTCAACTCATCCGAGACACTGGCAACAAGTAGTCTGGTGTGAACGAAACAACCTGTGAAGCTGACGAGATGCCAACCATTAACATCAGACGACGTCTTGGACAATGGACAGAGATTTTTGAGGAGCAGTTCAACTGGTCTGCTGTCCCGACAACTTTTCCGTGTTCCAAGGCCAGTAAAGGCTGATCCACCAAACGAGGAGGAACTCTGCCAGAAACTCCAACTCTTGAAGCGCTACAAATCACTAGGCCCAGATGACCTAACTCCGGTCCTTTTTAAAGATGGTGGTGACTTTCTGGTTACGGAACTTGCTGATTTGTTTGCAAAGGTCTGGCAATTAGAGACTGTTCCAACATCATGGAATGAGTCGATAATCGTCCTTAGAGGGCTCTATTTACAGATAATCTAGAAGTTCATTTATCTGGATAACCGCGTAAGTACTGGTGGTGGCGTTAGTAATGAGATCGATTCATGTATAGTGAGAGCCAAATAGGCTTTTGTCGACCTGGGCGATCTTTGGTGCCTTTTTGATGTTAGTCTTGCAGTGAAAGTTTCGATCTACAACGCGTCGTTGAGAGCAGTTTTCTCTATGCCTATGAGACCTGAACTCTCAGAGTTGAGGATATTAGACGACTCTGTGTTCAGTGATTTTCTTCTCTGATGGATTACTGGTTTTCATCGGTAGCAGTCAGTCACCCAGTCAGTAACAACGTAGAACTTCGTACGTACGTTCATCAGTTCAAGTTGCCATACCACATTAGCACAGAGATGCAGTTGTCCATTCAAATCCCGTAGTGGTAGAGGTAGTAAGAGTATAAGCAGTAATCGAAAAGATTAGGGTTTGAAGATGTTATTGAAGGAGTATAATTCAGTGAAATAAGTTTGGAAAGAGGAAAAAGGGACATGAAGAATTCAGAAGATTAGAATTTGGAAGAAAACAAAGAGTGGATGCACCTGCGCCATTGCAAACTATTTTAAGCCATGTCATTCAGGGTCTCTAACCATCGGTTGCTATCATCTTGCGGTCCCCAACCAGGTAGTCTACACCTACCAACATGACTCAGTCCACTTGTCAGTGACTTCATGGATTTGTGCCATGTTTTGGTCTGGCCGCCCCTAGCTTTCTTCCAACCTACTCCTATACCACTGAACATCGCACGTCGAGGCAGTCGGTAGCAATTTGTTAGTAATGCAGAAGTTCGGCAACATGTGTTCAGGTACAGCTCCGATTGTCCAACTGATATGACTATCTTAAAACGTCTACTTCGGTGTCTTGGACATGTCTTAGGAATGTTGTCCAGAGAATTGCACGTCGTGCATTATCTGCCGACGCTGGGACAGATTATAAAATGCGAAGATATGGTAAGTTTATGATTAATAAATCGAAGTTGTACAAGACGAGCGTCTGCCGACCCTTCATAACTTCTTGGTTAGGGTCCTAGAGATAGTAAAACACTGTCCTTAGACGGTCTCAGACATGGTTCAGAATATAAGGTAGTTGTTGTCCTACTATGGTTTTTTTACTTGCTTCATAAAACAGTAAAGGAACTTCTTAAACTGAAAGAATCTATTGTGGTTGTATTTTTCTTAACTGAATCAGTCCTTCGATTGTTATTTTTTTATACTCTCGTCTACTTTTTATTATATTCACCTTGCTTTCTCTCTCTCCTCACAATCTCATTTTTGTTACGTGGTTTACATTTATTTTGGTAACACTTTATACCAATATTTATGTTTGAACAGTTAAATAGTCAAGCAAAATGATCTGTTATGCAATATCTTAATAACCAAACTATAGGATGCTTTTAGTTTGGTCATTATGATATGGGATGTATGCAGATTCGCGTATTATTATTATTATTATTATTATTATTATCATCATTAGAGGTGGTTTTAGGCATATATTAAATATTATCGTCAGTTTTACTGAAGCTCTGTTTGATGCTGCTAAAAGTGTAAACATAACACTTACGATTTTCTTAGGTTGTTAAGAGTGAAAAGCATAAATATTTATCATTGGTTACTGCGGCCAAAACAATGGTACTTTTGAAAAACTCTGAAGAATTCCTTCCACTTAAAATGAAGCCGGATACAAATGAACGGCCGTTAAAACATGTCGCCTTACTTGGACCATTTTCAACAAATATCAGTGAATTGGTTGGAAGTTACACTAAACACATTAATCCGGCTGATACAGTTCCACTGGATAAAAGTAAGCTAACAGATACATACATGACCATCAAATCTTATATATAACACTGAAGAACACTTTATAAAATGGAAATTGTCAAGCAAGTAATATGAGTTTTACCATCAGTTTACCTACAAAGTTCTATTAGGGTCATTTTGATGAAGGAAAGGTGCAGTATCTGACAGAAATGGCAAAAACATAAAGTTAGGGAGAGTTCTCTGCGTTGTAGTTATTAAAAAGTTAAGTCATATGGCCTCGGATACCTTACGAGTCTCTAGAGCACAATGCATAGTTTCCATAGATTATTTATGAGGTTCTAAGACTCACTTTCAACCAGATAAAGAGTTATTTAGGTTACTGTCAAAATTATATTCAAACTCATCAAACATCAGTCTGTATTATATTAATACGACCAAGTTGTAAGCAACTGTTTTCTGTTAACTTAATTACAAGTATTTGGTATTGACATGAAAATTCAAATCACTGAACTGTATATATTGTCACGAAGGACATCAAAGTTGTGTTGCATCTAATCTGTTAATGCCTGTAAACTAGCATGAAGCATATCACATAAATACTTATACTGGCACATGTTGAGTATTACTAGGCAGAATCATCTATCATATTTGATTGCTGTTATGAAAACGTTGATGATAAAAACCGAGATTGCAGCAAATTATTTATGAATGACCTGTTTATTTTGGCGTTCTTATCTTCATAAAGTAATTGTTGATTACTGTATTAGCGCTGGAATTATTTTTACTGTTGGTTTGTTTCACACATTCGGTTTATCATTAATATGTATGCTATGATAATACTGACTCTTTCAACATTACATTTTGTAGCTCTTGAGAAAATAAGTGAAAGCGTTACTGCTTCAGATATTTGCATTGATGGTGGGAAGTGTACAATGTATGACGATTTAGCTATTCAAGAAATACTTTCCAAACCAGATATTGACCTTGTTATCATAACCATTGGCACGGGACGAAATGTTGAAGATGAAGCACATGATAGACATAATCTGAATCTACCTGGACATCAGAATGAATTTTTATTAAGTACACTAGATATGGCAGCCGGTCGGGGAATAATTAGACGCAAGCCTGTCCCAGTAGTTTTACTAGTCTTTTCTTCTGGACCAATTGATATTGAGCCAGCAGTGGAAGATGAAAATGTATGTTGCTTTACACATATCAATCAATGGGCATTTTTTGAAAACTTAATATTTGAAACGAAGTAATAACCATGACACTGTGGTGGTCGGTGTTCAATATAATCCTTAAACTTCGTATACAGTTCGTCTCGATAACCGTCACTAGATAACGGCCCAACGGTATATTAATCAGAAGGCGAATACGAAGTGTTGATTACGTTTATTATGGGACCACACACAGATACCCAAAATTACAGGTGCGTTAAGCAAGCATGAAACAGTTGTGTCGAAATGCAAGCAGGCAAGCGAGCGAGTCAGTGAATATGAGTACGAGTAAGCGAGAGAGAGAGAGCAATGAACATGAATAGCATGGACATATGCATAGTGAAATGAATGAATCATTGAATCAATCAAGCGACTAATAGTAAGGCTAGCAGCGTGAATAAATGCTTAGGCAGTAAGCAATGCTCAAGCATACATGTTCATACATTCGCAACAATAATAAAGATACAATCATATAAATAAGTTGCTGTTGTACGGATGACTTAATCGAATTAAATGTGAACAAACTCAATTGCACGTGAGTTTCTATAACACATTAAAAGGAAATTGGATTAACTATTCCGTCATGTGCATGTTATTGAATACTTTAGTATAAATCAATCAAACCTAGCACACTAAATAGAGCTTATTTCCAATAAACAAGTGGCTTGATGCTATTTCAGTAATAATAAACCTGAACTTTATTCTAATGTGGTATTGTAGACTTTGAAGTTTACCAGTTGTTAACTGCTTACATTTATATGATGATAGCTTAACATTTGAAACTGACTCTATTCCAAATCATTCTGGACAACTTCCAACTTCATAAATAATTTGTTATATTTACCGCAGGATGTGATTATATGTAATAGTGAACACTGCTAAAAAAGACAATAAAAATAAGACAACTAATTTTTATTTGACTGTTTTTCAGATAGTATCAATTTTTCAGAAGAAATCGTTATGATGTAAATAATATTTGCACGCTCTTTTTTGAAATCCGCTGAAGTCCAAATAGTTTCTGCATACACTGGATACGGACAAACTAAGTTTGCTTGACTGAAACATTGTGAATCCAATTATTAAATGAAGTTAAATACTAGTTAATCTATATCATTACTTCTACCTCTGTATTAATATAACTCATTCATAAGCTCTTCCTTTGACAGGAACAAATCACGATCGACAGAATCATACATTCAAATTGCACTGGAATGTCTTTGATTTCAGTGCCTTTTTGTTTTTTTGGGAAACTGATGCGTCAAGTTATCATGTATTGTTTGATGTGTAACGCAAACATGTTTATTCTCAAATAATATTAACCAGAAGTATTGGATCCATAACTCATCCTAGATTCATGAAGTAATTGACAGAAAAATTATTTCAATCTGTAAACAATATGACTACTAGCTGTAAACAAGTAATCAATATAATCACAATGGTTTTATCTGGATAATTTAAATGATTCTGACTCTGATATTATTAAGTTTAACATACAGGTTGATCAGGCTGCTTCATATGCTATCAAACAGCCTTTATTATGCAATATATTTTATTTTTTGTGGCTATATCACAACATAATAAATGTTGAACATAGCAACCTAATACATGTTAAATTTTTACGCAAATGAACGATGGGATTATTTCAACTTAAATAAGTTTTAATTTTACGATAAATTGGATATCTATTCACTTTCTCAAGGTTAAATCCATATTTTGGTGTGGTTATATGAATGACATACTCGGTGAAGTAATAGTTCGTGTACTGATGGGAAATCCTGGTAAACCATTTGGGCCGTACGCACCGTTATTACGATTGGATCCTGAGTTATCCGAAATCGGTATGTGGGGTATGGATATAGATGAAGGTTACTGGTGGATACCAGCGGCTAGATTACCATTTACTTGGTACGCTTCGATTGACGAGTTAGCCAATATAACTGTATATAAAATGACAAATCAGACCTATCGTTACTTGCCAAAATCTTGTACCAAGCAGCAAAATGCATGTAAAATACCAATTTTGTATCCATTTGGCTACGGATTATCTTATAACATGCTGTCCCCTTCAATTAGTGGTATTGAATATTTAGAACTGGAGTTGCCACTGTCTCCGGTTAAACCAAACCAACCAATAACTGTTTATGCAACGGTAGCTAACGTAGGATATATTGCATGTGAGGAAGTAGTACAAGTAAGTTGCAAACTAACAGTTTGAAGAAAATTTAAATCAAAACAATAATTCAGATTTATTTTTCTTAGTTTGAAAACGATTGTTTAGTTTCATAATTTTGTTTTACTACTTTTTTGCATAGAAGGTATGAAAAGTAAACTGTTGACGATCTACGAAAACGGAACAATATATACTTTTTGAAGTTTAGGGTTCCCACTGTTTTTCAACAGAATCAGTTGCGATAATCAAATTGTTGAGATTCATAAATGTGTTCGTATGAAGTCAGATATTTTTCACAATGCTAAAACATTACTCGCCAAAATAGGTGATATGTGAGATAAATTTTAGGGGTTAACAGAAATAAACTGAGATTTTGTATTCATGTCTTTAGTACAAACACATTTACATTGCTGTTTTACCTAGGAGTTTCGCTAAATAAACCCAAATAATCTGAAGACATAAGATTTTTTGTTTAATTATGTAACTTTCTGCAGTAACTTATCGAGATAACATGTTCAATTCTAACCTTTATTGTTATACGTAGTCTTGAATAACTAATTGACTGAAAAACCTAATTAAACACAGTAATTAATTAATTAGTTACGCCCTCTACCCTGCATCCGCCATCTGTTAAGATTCTCTAAACAAATCCGTCCTAGGTCCTTCTTTTAAGTTGTTTCCCGTTGCTATTCATTCATTTGATGTGTTCCGCCAATCTAGTAGGAAGACAAAATCTATCTGACTAAAACTTTCGATGCTTGAGCAAGCACGAAAATACGCTAGTTCAGCGTAAGTCCTCGATTAATGGTCTGAAGCTTTCACCATAAATACTGATTCCAGTTATTCTTGTTACCTGTTTGTTTCATTGCCTTTAAAACTAGTAAAAAGAATGCCATCAGTACAATTAATTAAAAGAAGTGGTTTATTTACATCCAGACGATACTGAATGCTTGAATTAGTTACTACAAGTACCATTGTAAGACTGAAATGAGACCAACGATGTTGGAAAGGAAAGCATAGCTGTCTCGATGACATATATTTTCAAAATCAGTATAGTTGCCCTCCGAGCATTAATGTAAAATCACGTCTCATCATAATATCTTCCCAACAAACTCAGACTAAGAGTTGTCAATAAGAATTTGGAAATTACATAATAATTTGAAAGTCAGGCATCCTGCTGTAGATTTGTTCACCGAACAGTTAAAGGCCGAGTTCAAATCGATACATCTCGTATCTCATTCACTATGTATTTACAAACTGCTTTCGTTATCCACAATATGGAAAATTCCTGTAATGTCAACTAGAATATTATAAGAAGTCTTCATTAGTAGTCAACGAGAATATTTTAATCACAAAAGATCTAAAGAAAAAATATTCATGCAACTGATTAAATGTTTTTAATTTTAACTTCATTCACATAATACTTTAAATGTATATTTTGGCTACTGTAACTAACGCTTGGGTGCTTTAATCATTTGTTAGATTCCAAAATCCGAACGGAAAGAACTTGTGGTTTTCTCAATTACAGTCAAAAATTAGAGACAAATTGATAAATCAAAAGAGGGTTTTGTGAAGATTTTAGTAATTTAATAGTTCAATTCATCGGTCAATTGAAGCCAGACTCATGAATACAACTATGAACTTGCTAAAATTTGCACAAAAGCCTCTCCTGATAATAACCATCATGTGCTTACTAGTGAATGGCTTCAAGAGGAATTTCCTGGAGTTTTTGTGAGAAGCCGTGACCAGTGGAGTTCAACCAGGTCTGTTGTGAGATAGCAACTCACTGAAGACAATGGTGGACGGTGGTGCGACTTAGTGAGTTGGTTGAAGCTAGACCGTTGGATGCCAACTCAGTGATCTAGAGGTTAAGCGTTAGCGCGCGAGACTGACAGGCCCAGGGTTCGAATCCTGCAGGGTGGGATCGTGGATGCGCACTGCTGAAAAGTCCCATACTAAGACGCAACGGACGTTCAGTCGCTTTAACTATAAAATTGATAAGTAATGTAAATATTGTTCATAAAACAACCATCCAGTATATCAGTCATCTTATGCTAATTATTTTAATCAAATTGCTATTTTTATATCACATAAATCTGACTAACTTCACTTTATCATCACAACCTCTAAGTTTGTCAGACGGATTACTTGTGTTTGAATTGTTTTCCTTTCCACATCGATGAAATATTCATGTGATTGTAGAGTGAAGATATGTCAATCTGTAAAGCAACAATAGAATTTGTCTGAATTATCGGTTTCGAAACCATGTTTCTTATACATCTTAAGGGCTCTTTTTCATATTCTTTATTTTTGTAGTAAGATTAAAGGTAAATTATTCTTAAATGTTATAAATTTATACATTTTTCTTTGTGTCAATTTCCAGCTGTATATACAATGGTTAAAATGTGGGCAAACTGATATAACTAATGAAGATCAGTGGGAATGCACTACACCTAATATTCAGTTGACAGGCTTTAAACGTATTCGACTAGATGTTGGCGAAAAAAAGGATCTTCATTTTCAAATATCCCCAGACCAGTTAAGTGTATGGTCTAATCAACATAAATCCATGGTTCCTGGTCAAGGCACTCTCCGTATAACAGTTGGAGGACAACAACCTGATCAACCAGTTACAGTTGGATCAAACTATTTGATTGGTATAGTTAAAATAGATCACACATAGCTAGAAAAGGCTTGGAACTTAAAACAAGGAATGAGTTTGTGATCAATTAATATTGCTCTATATTTGAACTCAATGGATAATGCTTGATATTAAAATATATAATTTGTTATATTTGATTTGAATATAGCAAAATTTTCTGCTCTTTGAGTAGACTATTGATTACAAGAATTCCTATTCTAACTCCCCATAGAAATAAAATTTCATGAACTATTTTTATTTGGTATTTTTAAAAAAGCTGATAAACAAAAGTGTAAGCTAATGTGATTGTGCTTGTCGATTAACTTATCATCACTATTAAACAAATAATGGACGTTACCGCTTCAAGGTTTTGATTATAGAATTTGCTTAGGTGAAATGATGGGACTTGATTATATTCCAACTCATTTGTCATCTATCATTCATAAAGCCTTATTATTGGGAATACTATCAAACAGAGAATAATTTTCTGCGGTAAACCAAATTAGGGAATTACGTGCTACAAAAAAATTAAGTAATTAATCGTTTGAAATGTAAGTCCTATTTACAAATCCCTCATTATGTGATAAAAATGGGTTGTTACTTGGGGCTAACGAGTACTTTTAATGATCCTGAATTATAGCAATTAATTTTAATCGGACTTTTTCTATTGAACTCTGAAGTTATGTATTTTGATCGTGTGAGATACATATACTTCATTAGTTTCCCTTTAAGTACCAATTAGGCATTCTCTTTATGGCTTTAACAGCCTATAAAGCTTGGTTCTTTACGAAGCAGCAGCATGTGCTATCCAGTTTCCTACTACTAAACATGTTCCTCTCTTCTTTTCAGAACTAATTCGTGTCGTCACAAATTTTAATTTCTCTCATTGAAATTCAGTAAATCTATTTCATAATTTAAGAAAATATACACTATTTATTTGAGTGCATAAATGAATAAAATCATGGTTATCAATGAAAGCAGCAAACTAAACTTAATTAATACGACTCTAATAATCTCATTAAGAGATTTGTTGATATGCACAAAAAAGTGTCTTTAGATTTCTGACTACTGAATGTTCTTAAATGTTGATTTATTGACTAAATGTAGATAATCGGTAGAAGTCAATTTCCACTTAACTATTACTGAGAATATCCTTAAATGTACTTAAAATCCTCAAAACTTAACTCAAAATTGATTTTCTGGACTGATATTTTGGATTAATCATGATTTTTAAAGCAAGCTTCTTTTCCCGTAGACAAAATTCGTTTTTTTAGTATGGTTAATTAAAATATGTATCAATATGAAGTTTCAGACAGTGACTTACCACTCAAAGTGAGTTGAAAAATAAGTGATTCTGACTGACTTGTATCCCTCACTCTCAAATTGTAACAAGCCATCGCTTTTCTTTTATATCTTTCAGTGATTTCGAATTCGAAGTCTATGTAACAGTTTAATCTATCAAGCATCTTTAATGTGTAAGTATGTTCATCATATAAGTTGGAAACTGTAAATCGCATTATTTTGCCGTGTTTCATATATTACACCAGAAATTGTTATTCTTCTGATTATCACTGATTACTATTACTGATGCCACTAAATAATTGATGCTGAGATTAGAGTAAAAAATTTAGATTCTTCGATAGTAGATTACTGAAAAATTCCTGGAAAATTATACCATGTAGTTAGATATGTCCACATATTTAGTTCATTTGTGAGTTTATATTTAATATGTAGTAGCGTATCATTAATTAAATGTATGTATAAAGCCTAATCGATCATGCTAGACTATGGTGCACGTATAACAGATCGATAATAATTATAACGTATTTATACAACTGGCTTATTTTCTGTGACATTTTTATGTTTTAGGTTGTAATACAGATTTGGTCACAGATAACTAATAACCAAAATAAATCATACTATCTAGTGTGCCTTTTCATTTATTCATTTATTTAAAACTTCTAAAACCACTTAATAAATAGAAAACATTCGGAACTAAATGCGAATTTCTCTCTAAGGTTATATATTCTACGTCATAAAATCATTTCCAAACATTTCATGTCCGTACCAAATTATATAGTATCAGTATTAAATCTCAATAATTTTGTTAGTTCAGATGATCGAAATGTTCACATTAATGAGCTTTTTTTGTACTCTTGAATATGTAGTAGATGGTATTCAACTTATTCAAAATAAACAACTCTATTGATTTCATTTTACTCACATAATAATGTGTATCTAAGGTTTCTAAATATTTTTAAGAATCAGATGTGGGTATAATCATTTCTGTAATATTTTAACAAATGAAAAACAACGTGTTCGAACAAAATCGTTCATTTTAATTAAAAAAGTTAGAATGATTTCTTTTACTTAATAATTTTATAAAACAAAAATGATATTGAGGTCAGCTAGAAGCAGTATTGTCGAATTGAGACAAAATATTAGAGTATTCATGATTTAAGGGAGTCATTTTCTTTCATCTATTAAACACGTAATACTGAATTTAAACCAAAGTTGGATGGTGACTACATAAATTCAGGATGATCCATTATTTCCAAATAGTTTCAAAAAAGTGTGTTAATAGACTTCTTAATTAGAGAAAAAAATTTAAACATAACTGGGGCTTAAAAACCTTGAATTCTTCACATTCATATATAGAGATATATCAACCATGTTTATATCAAACCTGTGAAATAGATAAAACATATTTCCTTATTAAAAGATTTATTCTAAGAAAGCTTTCATTTGACATAATCTTCAAAATGGAAATCAACATACAGATTATCGATACAGTTATTTAACATTTCGTCATTTTGACACTTATGTTTAGCTCCGAAAGGCTCCTTGGCTCATGTTTATTTTAAACAATTTCTAAGTTTCAATTAATCATTCCTGTGATGCAATACAGAAACATGAACTTTTTTTCAGTACACTGATTACCTAGATAGATTTTCATATCATCATTCAAATTCACAAATTAGAAGGACGACCTATGAACTAGTTACATTGATAAAGTAGCTGTATACTATAAAAGGCAAATATTGGGCTTAGCTGAACTATTGGAAATGCACAAAGAAAAGTTTTATACCCGTTGTGTTGTTTTATTCTGGTGGTCAGGGGAGTAATTGTGTGAAAACTGCGTTCTGGACCAATAGTTGTCAAGTATTTATGTCGGTTGTTACCTCATTATCATAGTGTCACTGGTTATTAGACAGTAATTAACCCTACGTTGGAAATGAGAGCAAAATTATCGATAATCTGACTAAATCATACAATTCCTGGCATAATTACGGGACCCAATACAAAACAAGAAACCTGTTCTTTTTGACGTCATACCTTTAGGAAGAGAATTTTAAATTATTGATCCATTACTATTTAGATTTCGTAATCCAGTCAGCGTTGATCCGGTTATTGTTATTAGTTCATTTTAGCTCACAAGATCTAGGAAAACAACGTGGTAGGTCTTGATGAAAAACCATCTTAATATTTATACATATGATTTGTATTCGTATTACTTGTTAGTCAGTCCGTGCCAAACTACTTATTAATCCACAATAAAACACAAACTATTAACAAATGTTGTTGTTCGTAAAACGATAATATTTTTAAGTAGGTATTGGTAGCAGACAGAAGATAATGTCCTTCAATTGTTGTTCCTGTTTTACACAGATTATTTATTAAGTGAAACCTAAGGGAGATATAAGAATTCTTTAAAATAAATGGCGAAGTACTTGTGCAACTTGCGAAAACGGTTTAGTTACAACTTTCCTTGTTTAGGTCTACTTAACAGATGATTATGGTTTACAATCTTTGTTTACTGAAAATTAGTTTTTGTATCGTATTCCATGACTTTCGTTAAGTGTAACTCCCAAGTATTTTCTTAAATAGGCAGTATAACACTCGCTTCGCCAAAAGCTCCATCAATGCCTGGTCCTATGCTCAGGATGATAAAGGAGGAGGGTACCGTAGAGAGTCAATAGCCAAATAACTAAAAACAATTTGCTAGTAAATATTTAAAACAAAACTCTTGTTCTTCGTTAAAGTAACCTCGATTATTGCTAGCCATAAAGAAGTGAAATACACCATTTTTTAAACTACGACATTATTTGATCCTTCTGTTATACAACCTCTAAATAATTTACGATACATTATGCACTATGTTTAGCAGCTCTTTTTTTACTAAGTATACTACTAAGGATATTAGTCAGTATCATCCTGTCCAAAACTGAATGCTAATCGAACTTTTTAACCACATTTACGGTATGGGTTCAGATACTGATGACAACATTGCAGCTGGCTGTACGTTGTTTTGAATGGTTGGATTAAGTAAACCATACGACTGAGGTCTGTTCTTCCCAAACCGTCGATGTCTTTACAATAATGTATCTGCTAAATTCAAGAAAACATTTCTCAAAAGACGTTGTTAGTGAGCGGTTCATGGTTAACGTTATATACATAACAATATAAAATGTGCACAATTGGAAAGATATCAACATTACAATAAAAGCACAAATCAGATACATAGAAACTAACTATTTGACCTAAAATTAAAAAATTATCTACAGGAGAAATAACACTATTAGTTACGTAGGTACATTAGAAAAAACCGTTATTTTTACTCATGGCTCTACATTCGTAAATATATTTAACTGGTCCAATTTTTAAGTCAGTGAAATATATATATATATATATATATATATATATATATATATATATACATCGAAAAATAGTAGTATAAGGTACAATTACTGGATACAAATGTAATGATATAACATTATTAACTTTCTAGCCTGAGTCTGATCATGATAAATATTGATATAACAAGTATTCTCTTGATGATAACAATATTGTGTAAAACTGTTCGAGAATATTAGAATACTTGATAACATAGCTGGCAAGCCAATAATTTTTTCAAATTTCGATTAAACCTTAGTATACTGAGTCAAAATCACCACCCCAGATTGAAAGTCATTTGTTTGTTAACCAAAAATCTCGGGTCTATAGATTATTGGAGATCCCCATAGAATAACAGAGTAGCTTCCTGATGAAACTTAGTTTGTGATACTTTCCAGGCATTTCAGTTTGTATTATACATTATCATTTAACCAGTTAGTCTATGGTAAGCCACCTATTTATCAGTAAATGTCATGAAATAGTTTCCATAAAAACTTTATTACTGCCAATTAAAGACGGAACAGAGTTATTTCGTCTATGACAAAGTAATTAAAAAGATGCATAAGGACAATTCCTGCACCCTTGTCTGGGCGACTAGCTTACTTAAAATTATTTAGAATTAAACAAATCCTATTTTGTAGTACTTCCATATTTCATAATTAGACTAGATGAAATTTGACTTTGATCACTTGAGTTTTGTAATTCAGTTAATAAATCCTCATAGGAGTAATTTTAAACACCATTCATTCAAATCCATATGAACCTGAGACTTTTCTTTCACTCAATCCACATCAATTATATTGATGATAAATTTCACTAAAAATTCAGTAGATTTTTAAAAGTTTCAATCGGAATTAAAAATATTTAGCTTTTTGCTTGATACTCTGATGTGAAATCCATATGGAAGTAATCAAAAACACAAAATTGACTAATATAAATATATGGTTCATAAAATGACTATATTTTAAACAGTTGTCTTATTATGATGATATACTAGATTTGGAATCTGTGTGAAGATAAGTAATTTGGTGTGAAATTCGGTGAAATTATGGTTAGAGAACAAATGTATCTGTACGTAGATCTGATGTGGAAAGATCATTGATCATACGGTTGGTGATAAAGATACTCAATCTGACAGATGTCATAAATCGGACTTATCACAGTATGTACAGAGAATAAAAAATAAGTGTATCTTTGTGTTGTTGTGTTAAACATATATAAACATACATAACAACTGACTGAAACGAATGAATAGGCGTCATCTTTTACATAACATCAGATAAAACGGAATAAGTAAAATAAATTCATATTTAATTTATTGAACATTAAATTCTGAGGTGCAGCTAAAATATGTCCCATCTCTTCTATTTGTATAGTTTGCGATTAGTCATATATGTATGCGTATTCCATAAACTCAACCCCCAACTTCTGTGAAGCTATTTGTTAAAATGTCAAAGTGAAGAAAGCTAGTATCAAATAAATAGGATTATTACACTTGTGAACACTAATTTACTTCTCTTTACTCAGTTAAATATATTGGAACGAAACTGAAGACAAAATTATCTGAGGCGAATTGTGGTTACTGATTAATTCGTAGAACATCTTGGAGTAACACTCGAAGAATTAAGTGAATTTGTGTCTTAGTACAACTGGTACCATTTAAAGTTATTTAAAGCAGCTTGATTTTATGCGTAAGTTTTACGAAATAACAGTTATTGTACAAGAAGATCATCTTTATCGGCAAATAACATGATAATTTTGTAGATCAGTGGCCTTTTAAAAATAAATCACGATATATTCAGCTAAAAATATTTTTGTGATCTAGGTCTCACCATAGCAATTAAAACCTATAAGTTAAAATTATGATAACGTCATGTAATCAGTTACAAACCAGGCTACAAAAATCGTATCACATACATGTACACCTACGTGTTGCAAATTTATCATGAAAGTATTAAAAAGTATACTTTTCCTTACCAAAGTACTGGAGTTTATGATCTTTTTATTTTAATGTGTTTTTATGACTTAAGGATAAATCTAATGCGATAAATACCTTTGAAACTTAAAATACGTATCGATGTTCATCCCACTTAAAAGAAATTGATAGGAATACCTAGAAATTCACTAGTTATACTGATCCTCATACAATCGATTGCTATTGTTTTATGCAAACATTTATTTATCCGGAAAGCGAAAATATTTTTTGTTGCATATTAGTTTTCCACTATCTCTCATATGACTCAGCACTTCAATATGAATTTTATACGCTGTATTATGCAATACATGTTCGGTATAAAAGTCAACTAAATTACTCTGTTGCATGCAGTAAAATAGGCGGACTGATTTAATCTGACGAACAAATAGGTGAAATTCAAATGTCTAGATACATAATAAAGCTACAGAATTTTATTGTAATTGATAACTCACTTCGAGCATCATTTGTCACAAAAAATGATGATAGAATATTTTGTCAGTATCTGCAAGAAATAATTTGTATTGTAACGTACCAGTTACACTGACTAAACTGTCAAAACACGGCTTCACTTTCCAATAATAAAGTTTCTAGTCAAATCAAAAATGTCTCAGTATTATGAATGACTAATAACAAAACAGAGAACTAATAGGACATAAAATCTGAGAAAATTCACATTCTTTTACATCCTGTTCGCTAATAAAGTATTTCATTGACTGTTAAACTAGAGATTTTCGAGACATAACCTTTACATAAAAATGTTCTTACTGGTTGTTTGGTTTCATTGATTTGTGTTTTTTTTTCAGTAGATAAAAGAAGCTTTCTATTCAAATTTGTATCAAGTAATTCTGCTAACAATGTGTTCACGCATAAGCAATTATCATTCCGTTCTTTGTGTAATTGGTGGGATCATTATTCAATGTACTTACGGGTACTTTTATACAATCGGTACTGTCTATATATACTAATGTTTTAATTAAACCACTGATTACATTATGTAGGTAATATGGCTCCATACATTTTGGACTATTTTCAATACCATAATAAGTCAATTTATGATAATTCCATCATGTGGTTGACATCGGTTGCTTTGGGAATGGAGGCATTAGCTATGCCGATTGGTGGAGCATTGTACCGTAAATTAGGAATCAGAGCAGTGGTAATAATTAGCAGTTTAATTCATAGGTTGGTGAAAATATTTTTCTGGATATTTTGTCGTTATCGGTATTTATTAGTATGTTTATTATAAAAATCATTTACTTGAGGAGTATTATTTATTATTGGCTAAGCGAATTAAGAAACAATTCTAAAAATAATTTTGACATTAAACCCAAATGATTACAAATATCAATTTGACTGATGTATATATTTATATATAATTGGGAACCATTTTGGTCAAAGTGAGTTTGTGTGGTTCCAAAACTCGGTCAGCATTTGTTATTCAGATAACTAAGTTCGATGACAGCATTTCTAAAAAGATTCAACTCACACATATGAAAAAGTAATGCTCATCAGTCAATACCACGGATTTGTTGAACATTTTGAATCGTAGATACTAGCGAATCACGTATTATTGTTTTAGCATTTTAATATAAGTGATTGCTGAATTAATAACTCATACTAAATAAGAAGCATTCTCTGAAGTTATTGCATGTTGCAATTGAAATTCAGTAAATTCAGTGAGAAATATTCTTTCAACAGAATGGGATTATTTAATAAGATCCATGGATTAATCAACGTTGATCTAATTGTTTCTTCTCAACACAAGAAGTCAGAACACACTTAATAGTTAATCTGAAACGTCTTTTGCATTAACCTTTATACACTAAAGTATATCCTAATTCCTCTGAGTCAAACGGTGGAAAAAATTAACCATTCATTCATGTTTATCACTTCTCTATTTGATATATCACTATCAGTCAAACTGCTAAGTGACATGAATATTGTACACGCTTCCAGACGATTTTGAAAACAATCCTAACTGTTACCCAATAGAAATGAAGGAATATATGGTCTAGAAATTTGAATAATTTCAGTTTGTAAGTAGGACAAAACATTCATTATTCTATGAAGCATCTCACATTCAAATTCACATTAGCTGAACAGAAGTCATCTTAAATGACATTTTTACTTCTGTAAGTACGTAACTCTATGGTTAGTTATTATTCCAGTCTAAATGTGTATTATTTGGATAAATCTTAACAAAGTATATTTGTTGAATAGCACATATAACCAAGAAAGGTATTCTTTATGTTTTAGCGGAGGAATCACATTGAGTTATTACACACTGAAATTGGGATTCATTCCATTACTGATTACTTATGGTGTGATGCAGGGTTTCGGGTTTGGATTCGGTTATTCAGCTACTATAGCTGCATCAATTGCAGTAAGTTAATGAATTGAAAGTTGTACTCTTATGTATAATAACTAGTGCCAGTTTTACGTCGTACAGTCTATGATGAGGTCATTCAGAATGGTAATGAAAAATTTCAAAATAAATCGGCTATCTTAGAAAACGGATGAAGCTTGCAAAAGTCAGTCTATCAACAATTAGTCGACAAATCACGTTGCATCCAATATATCAAACCATTTGAAAAAGGTCAACCAACAACCTGATGAAAAGTCAGTGGAACAAAATAATGGACTAGAATAAACTGGAAACTGGAGACACTGAAATATACGAGGATAGGCATTTACAATCATGCCCACCGGAACAAAATGATTTAAGACCCGTAGAACAACTAAGAAGCTCACTTCTACATAAAGGAAACACTGATGATGATATACAGAGTGACAATGAAAGTTCCACAAATATACCATCTAGCTCAGAAAACTCGACGACACTAAAGGACTCTATCCATGTCTCAAATCTCTATCACGTTTAGTTATATTCGTACTTGAGTCATTATCTTGTAAGGGTATACGTCCCAGCTCAACACGTCGGGAATTGAAGAGGTGTTAATTAATTTGTTTAACTAAATTAATTAAACATTGAGATACATTAGCACTTATCAAAATTACAGGATGCTTTCCTTGTGTGAAAATAAGAAATTTATTTAAGAGTCACTTTATATAGTTGATGTTGAATCACATTACTGCATGTTATTTTAACACTTTTTGGTAATAGTGTTATATCCGAACAAATTATTTATGGACTATTAATACATAAACATACTGAATAATTGTTAAGTAACTAGATTGTATATATATCCGTATTCCTTATATCATAAACTTTCATTTGACGTATTGGCTACTGTTGTACGATTTAGTATTCTTAATTTATTCCCAATCTGTTAGTTACAGTCTCTAATACTCACAGCCATTTTTGGCTTGATCTTGCATAAATATTACTTTTCATTTTCTGGCGTTATGCGGTCTGATTTGCTTATATATAAACCACGTATGTCTGAAATATACGATTCATACAGTGGAGGCTGAGATTGTTTTCTAAACTTAATGGGCAAGGTTTGGGTAGTGGGATCAATAGGGATTCAAATTTAACACAAGGCTGCTAGTGTTGTTTTGACGTGTCGTTGGCTTAGAACAAGAAAAAAATCATATAAGTCGGTATTTAGATTGGCGATTTTGTCACGTGATAATTAACAAGGGAAATGTCATAACAAACAGATTACTCTTGGAGTTAAAGTATAGTATGATACAGTTAGACGTTTATCATTGTTTTTGTATAGACTTCATAACCACAGTTGACGTTGATTGTAAACATTTTTTGTTCGTATTGACCTCTTTACTTATCAAAAATTTATTTAATGCTATTAATCTATTTTATATGGATGTATTATTGATTAATTAATAGGATCTGGGAAACGAACATTATTTCGATATTCTTCCCCATGATTCCTTTAGTTTTCATAAACCTATAGATTAATGTATTACTGACGGATAAATCATTTCCACATGCCCTTTGAGTTATATTATACATAGTTTACAATAAAAGAATGAAAACATTTAACACGGTAATTAAAGAAAAGTTAATGTTTATGTGAAATACTAAACCCCATATTTGAAAATTCTTAAATGGTATCGTAATTTGTTTAGTAAATTAAGCTGCTTCGTAATATAATGAAAGCAAAGTATAGACCTATATGAAAATCTAGTTTCTCAAGCAATTATTCAATTTTATAAATTTTAATGGCGTAGCGAATAGGTTGAACTAAAATGTTTGATGCATGAAACATATTTTGAATTATGTGAACATTAATTTAATTGAATTTCCAAGGGCATTTGTTTTGCGCATTTTGTTAATTGATTTTATTTATAATGTTCCATGCTTGAAACTTGAATACTAAGTGTTTTGTTATCAAGTTAGAATACATCATCATTTTATATTAATAACAGAATTAACCTGAATTCTGAATAAGTAACTTAAGACTAATGTACTTTTCAAGAACTAGGAGCAACATTAATTCATTTGTATTGGTTGTTTGGATAATGTTCAGGACTGCAATTGATCAGTCTCTTATTGGCATATATGCGTCCTGTCCAGATTACCTCAATATTGCCATTCGGTCACGAGCATTATGATTAAAGATGGATGGCTGCTAGCAGTGGAATCAAGTACCAGCGTTTCATCCTATTTGATACACGTCAGCTGGATGTACCTGAATCTTAGGGTTGATGCTAGCCACTATCTATATCTGCTTATAAAATTAGTACTGTTCGGATGAAATGTTACTTATTAATTTTGAAATGGTAGTGGAACGTTTGCTGAGTGATCTTTTCAAATAATATTTCAGTCATTGTCACTTTTTATTAAGAAGTGGGAAGCCACATTTTATAACAATAAATGACTAAGTGCATATATAGATGATAAATATTAACAAATTTTTGTGTTAAAGTTTCCAGGCTTGATTTATTACACTGACATCAGATATCAAGTTTTAAAGATATGCATATTTACTTTGTTATCCTTTTCATCAGCTGTATTCCTATATTCCCATCAACAAGAAATGCTTTTGATACTTTGTCTTTCTTCTGTTCAATAGTGGTTTCAAAATAATCGAGGTTTAATTGTTGGCCTAATTGTTGGTGGTTTCGGGGCTGGTCCCATCATCTTTACATCGATTCAAACAACATACATCAATCCAAATAATATCAAGATAGATGACAAGACAAAGTCAGTAAATATATTTGATATGCTGAACATTTGACTGAAACATAGTGCACATCTTCACTTCTTAAAAATAAATATTCATCTCTTAGTTGTTCAAGTATTCTAGAAGGACAATGCCACAATTTACCAGAAATAGGCTCAGGTCACTTTAAATAGTTTAGCTTCTCGCGAGATCTCTCATAAATTTCTAAATCATATAAATTCGTAAAAGTAACAACGGAAAGACCCAATTTCCACACGTTACAATCCCCAAAACGCTATCACACTGAAATAACTTCCATAACATTGAAAAACACTTATAAATTTATCAAGTACCGTGATAATGTGTACGACAAAATATTAAATATAAGACAACTACTACTAATACTACAATTATCGAACATATTATTGCACTTTCATGAATAAAATTCACTTGACTAAGAAGCATTCTATAAAATCAATGCCAACTATTTATGCAGGAATTCGTGAAGTTAGTACAGATCAAACAATTTTGTATTATCACTGTTTGAGCTCCGATTGATCATTAACAGTGTGATTCAAACGAAATCAGTTTTAAATAAATGAAAAAAGGCCGGTGTTTTTCCCTATAAGTGCTCGATTCAGATTACTAAGGTTATGAACACTGAACAAAAATTCACTTTTTTAATTTGTTAATCTACACTTTTGTAATTTGATCTGATCAATCATAAGTTTCTTCTGAGTTCATATCAAACGGATATCTGAACTGTTGACTGTTAATTGAAGTGGAAGATAGAGTTATTCCCCTATGTTATTAATAAATTACTGATTCACAATTGCTCACCAATTTAGTTAATTGTGAGATTTGATTTTATGTACAAGTAACCATACAAAAGGAGCTATTAGTTATTACGTATGGTTCCTATTCATGCACTATTTACAATTCACATTCATCATAATATATTCTGTGATATGGATATTCCTTCCATTGTTTTAAACTGTAACATTCACTATTTTTTATTAAAGCATCACTTTGTAACAATGAATATATTTTTTATCTTCATTCAACAGGCGATTTGTAGATGCTGATTTACTTAACCGTGTTCCTTCTGTGTTTCTACTTATTGGTGGTGTTTTGTTAGTTATACAGATAACTGGGTTATATTTGATGAGAGATAAACAAAAGGTAAGAACACATTGATTAAAGGATGCTGTAGAGATATTAAACAACATTTTCACCTAGAAATGATATTAGCAGTACAGCAATTATAATATTGTATTTTACATACTGAACTATTATGATAGTTGGCTGGTTATTTTGAACATTTGATTGCAAGAAACTTATCCTAATGCTATAAACATGTACAATAGTTTCTATTATCCATTCAAAAGTTTATAGGAATAATCGCTTTTAATGTATACTACATGTCTGTGTTTAGTAGAAATCCCAAGACAAACAAGTATTCTAGTTTGCGAAAAATGATTTTCTGTTGTAGCTGAAGTTGTTCAGTTTTTAAATTGTATTTACAATGTCACTTTATTAGTTTAATTTGACATCAATCTTTATTTTCTTCATTTAAGAAAGCGATTGTTCTGTTAACGAATCACGACTTCAAGGATCCAGATAAGTCAGTAAGTTAAAATAGCTAAATATAAATTTCTGTATCTAGCAAACTTTATCAGTTTTGGATGTCTCACTTTATTTTTTTAAAATGTCAAACACCAAAGTTTTTGCATAAACAACAAATCACTTGAGAATTAGTTGCATCTCGTAATTTAGTTAATAGAACAATAGGATTGTAGTCTACAGAGACTGTAAACCAAGCAACAAACTTCATTCGATTAATGTTCTGACTACTCGTTAGAACAGAATTCAGGTTATAAATTAATTTCCTTTGTATTCATTTTATAGAAATGTAGTAAGTAGTAAATTTTCAGTTATAATGAAATACAGTGAATAAAACTGTAACTTACACCAGACTGATTTAGTCAAAAATAAATACTGCTTTCGTGATAGTTTAATTATATTGAATTAAAATTTAATACATAAGTGGGTTTAATGTCTAAAACGTTGTCTAGTCCTTTGATTACAAAAAAATTGTAGAGAAATTTCTACAGAGTTAGAATGCAGGTTCAAAAATATCGTAAAATAAAAATGGTTATATTCTGTGAAATAAGCAGTTTCTAAGAAGTGAATTAACTTCGTCTCTTTATCTAAGCATAAACATGAACTATATCTCACGGTAGTAACTTAAAGCGTAATAATGTGGACAAGATAATTATGAAACAAAAAGTAAAACTAAGATTTCCTATTATTTGAGTTACCCTATATTAAGTAAATAAAAGCATCATGTTGATCTCATAATAATTACATTTTCTGTTATTCATGCATCCTAATTCCTTTATTTTGTATTATGTAACAATAAAAACAACCTCAGTCATTGTAATTAACAATTTTATAATTTTTCTTTGTTGCTTAGCATGAATTTCCACCTGTTATAAAGTAAGTTAACGGATTTTATTAGTAAGTTACTATTTGTCAAAAATAAATGTCGTTGTTAATTTTGCTGCATATGTAAAATATTTGAGTTCCGAAACACGACAAGGGAATGTAACGTAAATGCTAACAAATTTTCGTTTCACTTTCAAAAACGAGTAAACCTGCTTATTTAGTAACCGGTGAATAAGTCATACTTCTACGATAGTTTCATTTACACTCCACAACCGTAATCATTGATGATACTAAATTAGTCGACTTTTAACCGCTTCATAAATTCGCTCCATTATACATGATGGAAACATTTTACAGTTATCAGGGATACTATTATTCTAAAGTTGGCCATCATTTAGGTCTGATTTCGATTTATTTGTTTTTCTTGTGTATAAACTTATTTTTATAGAAACATGTATATAAGTAATACTTCTGAATCACCAAATTTCATGACACGATCTCAAATCAGATCTTTAACCTACATCCATAATGTTAGTTTACATTTTTTAGGCGAACATAATCAATGAACAGTAGATGTTACTTGGAACAATAATTATTATCTTCAGTATCAGTTAACCTTATTTTTGTATTTTCTTAACGTATATTTTGTCTCGTAAATCAAAGTCTCAATCCCGCAATAGACCAAACAATATGAACAGATTAGCTAATAAAACATTGAGATCCTGGTAGGACAACGATATATACAACATAAATGTATGACAGTTTATGCTTGAATCAAAGAGGATCTCACAGAGACTTCGGCCACATTTTTCGAATCCCCAGATAAACGTTTGGCGAGAATACTTACTACCTGATTCTGATTGCATGGTCTTTACAATCTCACTATCACTAACCTACATAAAGAGTAATGTCAAATAATTTTATATTAAAAATACCTCGCAATAAACAGTGGCTCTATATGCTTTTTAAACTCTGCATATGAGATATAACAAATAACAACTAATCACCATCATCATTGCTTCAATAGCTTAAAAAAGTCTCAACAACCTTCCACTCCGTTTTTCAAAAAGACATTGTAAGCTGACGCCACCACATTCTGGTGTAAGAGGCAATAAATTTGAGTTTGGTTGGTTCGAAACGTCACCATTCGATGCAAATAAGTTACATTAGAAACATTAATGTAGACACGGAAAAACTAATAGACCATACCACAGGAAACACATGGGACGATCCAATACATAAAATCTGATTGACAGGAATTCAATATTTGAAGTGATCAAATCAAGAATGAACGGAAATTTTGTTGGTTAAGCTGTCTATTAAATAAAAATGTTGTATTAATAACATATTCTTGGAAATATCACCCTCTAATGTAGAATATTTCTTACAGATCTTTAGGATGTGAAGCAAGGTGAGTAATGCGCTGTTCTTTAGTTAGCATTTATAACTTTATAAGGTTAGATTTTCTTCCGCATTTGTCGATGTCTGATTGAAACTGGGACGTATTTTTGTTAGAATATACAAAACAACATCTATGTATACAATGTGAATTAATAACAATTTAATCCTTGCTTGCGTGATTCAAACTCCCACCGTCTACAGAGGTATGGAATGGCAATTGTGGTTAAATTAAAAATTAGGACGATAAAGAAAATCAGAATGCCAAATGCCGTATTTTGCTCTTAACACTGAAACAATCTTTCACATTGATAATTTATCGAAAAATAATTAATGTCATTAGTCAAACTTTAACGAGTTTGGCGGTTTGATACCCATCAAACGATTTGAAACACCGCATTTTATAACAATTCAAATCCCTAGTGAAAAATGAGTTACATAGTATCTCTAAATATAGTTTATCTACCTATTATTGAAGTTCAGAACCTTAATTTTTACAGTTCTTGTCTTTGCTTATCTTCTAATCGTGCAAAACCAAGTATTAAAACTTTAATACACTTAGATCACTTAGATCGTTCAGACTCATGTCGGTGTATTTATATACTATGTTTACATTTCAGGGCTATTAAAATATCTATTCTTTTATTTAAATAGTAGTACTTGCACAAGTTTAATTAGTTGTAAAAGTGATATGATGCCCAAGAATTAGGCCTAAAAATTATGTCTTAACTTGTATGAGAGTAAGTGACCTACAGATTAACTTCCTTCATTCGTCTGTAACATTTAATCATCTTTATTTTGTATCGATATTTTGTACATAAGCACTCCATCTTATTAGACAAAAAACTAGTGTTTTGGTTGTTGCCTTTGATTTCGGTTCATTCTGAGGCTTACGTAAATAACTACGATTTCATGAACAGTCAGCGTCCGGCCAGATCATATCATTGCGATCCTTTCACCCGAATCGTAAAAAATTGATTCATCAAATCACTAAAATCCTACTCCATAATAAGATTTAATTTATACTTGACATTTATCATTACATTAAATGAAATAAGAAATCCGATAGACATCTGACCACATATGAACAGTTGATTAGCTATTCCGAAGCAATTATTCTACGTTCATTCTGAGAATTTGTAGTTCAGTTTTTATGATATTGTAACCGATCACTTTATATCGGTACTCAGTAATTGCCTGTGTTATGTGGGATGCACATGTTTATATCTTGGAAATCTATATATTAGTAATCAGGTGTTGATCTTAATACATTCTCAACTTCTAGACATCACTCATCAAATATCAAAGTATAATGTATAGCGTGACAACTCTTTAAGATGCATATTTAATGCACTTTATACTAGAATTCCACTAGTGCCATTTAATACCAAAATACAAGTCATCATTTCAAATGTAAAAAGCTGGATTATGTTACTGATCAATATCATGAAATGTCGTCACAGCTACAAAATATACCAAATAATAGAACATCAAACGATTTGTTTCATTGTAAATATAAATTGAATTAAATAAAATGGTTTGTAATTGTTAAGCGTGTTTATTTTTCTTGACAAAGTTCAGTAAATTTACGACCTTTGGAATTGTTGAAACAGAAAGAATTTTATTTTTTATGGATCATTATATTTTGTGCTGGAATACCTTTGACATCGCTGGCAACACTTTTCAAGGTTAGACATATTTTTTTTAAATCCAGTAAGATTTGTTTTTCTATTTGGTTTAAACTGATTTTGTACAGAACTCTGATCAGCTACTATGGATAAAACATGTGATACTGTCTGATTAACATAATCAATAAAATAGCAATCTTGATTTATGGTATTTAGGTTTGCATAGAAACTAAAAGTGTTGAATCAAATTTTGGCTATTATATTGTACAGTTAGAATACAATTTACACTAGTCACCTTTACCAAAATACATGTTACTAAGTGACAGTACCCAGCCAACCTGTTCAGAATGCATATTTGCCAGAAGCGACAAATTAATTGCATTCCTATATAGTAGTGACGGGAAAATTCAATTATCTACAAATAATTTGCATCCGTCAGCATTGTCGGAAAAATCGGTGAATATTAACTGCGTCTAACAATGTTCTCTGGGTTTGAACAATTACTACTCATATATTAAGAGGACTGCGGTAATCAGTGATTACAGTGAAAGGCTGTGTGCATGAAAATAAAAAGATTTGTAAAATTAATAAGTCAACAATGGATTTTAATGTAAATAGGATAAGTTAAATGTTTTAGTGGCGGTAATGAAGAGTAATAGAAGTGTTAAATAAAATCAGGTGGTTTCAGAAACAATTATGTATAAAGTCATGGAGTCTATAAGAAATGACCTTTCACTGTAAGTATTTTCATTTCATAATCTAACCATCCTACAACAATATTACGCTTATTCAAAAATCAACAATTATCATCACAAGAATTATGTTTTTAGTCTAGTGACAAATTATATCACAATTCAAGGTTGAATTATAGTCATTATTGGTGATATAATGTGAGAATGCTCTATTAAGTAAAAAATAAATTGAGATTCCTGGTAAAAAACAATATAAAGAATATCTAAACATTGTCTATTAACTTATTAACTTTTGACCCATTTTATCAAACACTGATGAGAGTAAACTATATTTTAATAAAGTTAGTAAAAAATTTTATAGACTATAAATTTAAATATTTCAAATCTTTCACAAACAATAAATTTTGGATTAAACAAAACTAAACCTTTGTTTGTTTGTTTGTAAATTAAAATGTTTCATTAGGTTTGATGATATATTAGGCTTGAAATGGAACTAGTGGGAATTCAAATATTCATCCAAATATTAATTTCATTCATACATTTACAATCCATCGCTATACTGAAAGTTAAATATCAATGTTTTTCACTATGTTTCTATAGTAATACTGATAGCAACTAACCTACATTCAACTAAATAACTTCGCTTTAATGGATTAAACTATTTGCTTATCTAAACTTCACCAATCAGCCTTGTCTGATAGATATGGTAAAGATGAACTCTGATTTTAGTCTTATCCCACTCCATTTTTTCCTCTTACACTATTGAGTAGAGCGGATTGTATATGGCTTATCATCAAGTAGTTAGCAGCAATGTGCTGGTAAAAATCGATGCACTGATTCACAATGACAAGCCACCAAAATCAGAGCAAATTGATGACTGAACCAAACAATAACAAAAAATATTTGCATTTCGTTAACTTCTCTGTAGCTATATAGAAGCTAATGCTTACTTACTTACTTACGCCTGTTACTCCTAATGGAGCATAAGCCGCAAACCAGCATTCTCCAACCCACTCTGTCCTGGGCCTTCTTTTCTAGTTCCATCCAATTCTTGTTCATTTTTCTCATGTCTATCTCCATTTCCCGGCGTAATGCGTTCTTTGGTTTTCCTCTCCTCCTTTGACCTTGAGGATTCCATGTGAGGGCTTGTCTTGTGACGCAGTTGGGTGCTTTACTCAATGTGTGTCCTATCCACTTCCAGCGCTTCTTCCTGATTTCTTCCTCCGCTAGGATCTGGTTTGTTCTTTCCCATAGTAGGTTGTTGTTAATAGTGTCCGGCCAACGGATCCGAAGTATTTTGCGTATACAACTGTTAATAAACACCTGTATCTTCTGGATGATAGCTTTCGTAGTTCACCAGGTTTCCGCCCCATAAAGTAGAACTGTCTTGACATTTGTATTGAAAATCCTGACCTTGGTGTTGGTTGACAGTTGCTTTGAGTTCCAGATGTTCCTCAGTTGTAAATATGCTGCTCTTGCTTTTCCGATCCGTGCTTTCACATCTGCATCAAATCCACCATGTTCATCAATGATGCTGCCCAAAATATGTAAAGGTTTTTACACCTTCCAAATCTTCTCCGTCAATTGTGATTGGATTGGTGCATGCTGTGTTTTATCAAAGAACCTTGCTTTTCCCTCTGTATATATTGAGACCTACAGCTGCTGAGTCTGCTGCTATACTGGTCGTCTTCTCCTGCATTTGTTGTTGCGTTTGGGATAGAAGGGCTAGAACGTCTGCGAAGTCTAGATCGTCCAACTGCATCCTAGATGTCCATTGTATCCCGTGTTTCCCTTCAGATGTTGATGTCTTCATGATCCAGTCGATCACCAGGAGAAGGAGAAAGGTTGAGAGTAAGCAACCTTGCCTGACACCGGTCTTTATTTCGAACGACTTTGTCAACTGTTCTCCATGCACGATTTTGCAGTGTAATCCATCATATGAATTCTTTATGATAGAAGCTAATAAGTTTAATTATTTCCAAATATTGACATAACATCCGATCTGAAGTAATAAACTATCATTCGGTTATTGGAAATGTAAAAAGGATAATAAGTGAATTTTTAAAAAGGTATTATTATTATTATTATTATTATTATTATTATTATTATTATTATTTAAAATGATAGTTTCAGAATACGTAAGAAAATATTATAGCATAATGTAACAAAATTTTTAGAAAGTTTAGAAAGAGAAGAGGGACGTACGATTTTAATTCTCTAGATTGTGATTTTCATCAATTGGAAAAACAAGAAAGGATTAAAAGCCTTAAGTCGCTTCTGTTCCCAAGCTAGTTGAAGACTGACCACAAAGGTCAGCCCTTTAAATATTATGGACGCTGCGAATCTTGGAAAGACACTATCAGATTGTTCATTGATTGATTTAATACATTCAATGAATTAGCATATAATTCTTAACATCTTTTTTAGATCCCAGTCAACAGATTCCTTACTAATAATCGAATTTTCAACATTATGTTAATAACTGGAAATAATTAAACTCACCAGCGTTTATGTAGCTGAACAATAGGCTACAAAAAAAGTCTTCATATTCTGCAAGTACTGCAGTTCGTCCTTGGTTGAACTTCGTGAAGAAAATCAATTATGTGAAAAATCGATGACCGTTTTGATTGCACTTACTTTTAACGATTGATTTTTACTCTCCATGACACTAGTAAGATGATCTATCAACGATAACTATCAAGAGATTTTAGGTTATATGAAACCGACATGCTGATTTAGTAAAGCTATTTTCTAATGACTGACAAATCGATAGTTTATTCTGAATGAAGTTGGAGAACCATTGAAGATCAGAAATCACTAAGCATTTTTATGGACTTCTAAACAATTTCTGTTTTAAACGAGTTTGCTAAGGTTTGAATAAAAACCTTCCATGTACTCAAAACATTTTAGGTAAAATCCTCCATAACCGCTACATTTTCAATAGATTCTAATGGTGCATCAGATGAAAGAACCGATGTTTCCAGAAAATTCCACTTAATATAAAGTTGTGAATCATAGTTACTTGGATATCGGAATGACAGTTTTTCAACTTTAGTTATTTTTATTAAGTAAACGACCCATATATTTTATGGTAATATTTCATAATAGTGAATTTAACTTTGTGAAAGCATTTAAAATAAGACAAACTGATCTGTAAACCTCTTTGACATTTTGATGTCAAACTGTCTAATTAATTTGATGTTTACCAGTGATTCTGTAAACCTTAGATTTCTTTGAGACAATTGGAATAGTCATTTCGTAACACCAGGAATAAGTGGTTTGCTATAATAAAAATGTTTGTGTTTTATCTGATTGCTTTTCCTATTGGAATTTTTATGACTGTTGAAATATTTAAAAAGCCATACTTAATTAAGAACAGCATCCCCAATATTTAACAAAATTAATGGTGAACGTTGATTTACAATTTTTCAGCTTTTTGGTAAAACTCATATTAACGATGACAGATTTCTTGCTATTATGGGGGTCGTTGCGGCTGTATTTAATTCCGTCGGACGTGCTTTCTGGGGTGCTATCAGTGATCGTATTTCCTTCAAGGTAAATTTCTAAAGTTTTTTGTTCATTCTGAAGTTTAGAATATCTTATTTATATAAATCATTACCTCAACTTTTTTCACACACTTTATACAAAATCTAAACTTCACTATTTAGAATAAAATTCCTTTATAATCAGAATATTATTTTTGGCTGATTGATTCTTAATGAATTTCCGGCTCGCTGAGCATAAAATTGTTTGTTGCTTCTCTAAATCAGCCAAACAAATCAGTGTTTACTCAGTGAGCTGTTTATAGTTATCACTGGCTGAATCGAAACAATAATTAATTATACCTGTTACCCCTCGTGAAGGAACATAGACCGTTCAACAGGTTTCTACGTCATACTCTGTTCTGAGAGATAATTCCCAGTTCTTTCCAGTCACTACTCATTCTTCTGATGTCTGCTTCCAACTCCGACGCAATATGTTCCCTGGTCTTCTTCTTTCCGTTTCCCTTCGGTATTCCAAGTTGTCGCTTGCTTCGTGGTGCAGTTTGATTATTTCCTTAGTGTATGTCCTGTCCACTTCAAGCGTCTTTTTCTAATTTCCTCCTCAGCTGGAAGCTGGTTTGTTCTCTTCCACAATAGGCTGTTGCTGACGGTATTCGGCCAATAGACATTGAGTATCTTACGTAGACAATTGTTTATAAATAATTGTACCTTTTTGATGACGGTTGTGGTAGTTCCCCAAGTTTCAGCTTCGCGCAATATAACTAACTGTCTTGATGTTCAAAATGAAGATTCTGACTTTGATGTAGGTTAACATTTATTTTGAGTTCTATATGTTCTTCAATTGTAGGAATGCTGTTGCTACTTTGTCAAACCTTGCTTTTACGTTTGCATCAGATCTTCTATGTATATCAATAGTGCTGCCTAAGTACGCATAAGTTTACAATTCATCCAGAGCTTCTCTATCAAATGTGATTGAGTTGATGTTCTCTATGTCGTATTTGAGGATCTTGTCTTTTCCGTTGTGTATTTTCAGGCTTACTGATGCATAGGCTGCTGCTACACTGACTGCCTTCACCAGCATTTATTGGTGCGTATGGGATAGAAGAGAGGTCATCTGCGAAACATAAATTACCAACTGTATCTAAGCCGTCCGTTGTATTCCGTGCTTCCCCTGAGAACCATAGGTCTTTCATACCCGTTGTCTTTACAATCGATGACCGAGGAAAAATGAATTAGTACACAAATGTTCTTGAATATATATTACAGTAATTGGATTCACCGCTATATGCAGTGGTAATAAATAACCAAAGTATAATAGCATTGAGTGAATAAGTAAAGCAAAGTAATGGTGGTTTTGGATTAACAGCAGAATTAGGTCACTTTGTAACTGAACTGGATTTATCTTGAAGCTGGCACTTAGAATCATCAGCACTTGTATTAGAATGGAAATAGCACTGACAATAGAACATCCAGTAATTGTATCTTGGTGAGATAAATCCAGGACTAAGTTACAACGGTCTAATTTGCAATATGTTGAAATAAATTCATAATGTACAGAGTATCAATCAGTCATCTTGTCTCTAGTATTTATGGACCGATTATATAATGGAATATGACTGACAAATAGATAAATAGGGAACTGAACAAAGGAACATTTGAAAGATTTACCTATAAGGTACTCGAATTAATCACACAAGTGAGCACAAGTTAACCAATAAAGTTGACAGTCGCTTGCTCAGCTAGATATCGTATTTCAAAATGAATTTACGATCATCTAGCTGCATAGCCGTTTATTGCATTTCGTGCTTCTCTTGATATGTGGAGGTCTTTACAATCGAGCCGATCACCAAAAAATAATAAGAAAGAGTGAGTAGCCTTGTTTGACACCAATCTCCACTTGCAATGAATCTGTGAGTTGCCCTTCGTGCATCACATTGTAGTGTAGTCCGTCGTATCAATTACGGATGATGTTGACGATTTTGTGTCAAACAAGGTTCCATTAAGTTCTCCTATCAACGCTGTCAAATACTTTTTGACAGTCAAGGAATTCGATGTTTAGCGATGAGTTTCATTCAATTGATTGTTCAACAGTTATTCGTGGTTTCGCAATTTGAACTGCGCACCACTAACACTTACAGAATCCAGTCCGTTGATCTCGAAGTTGGGTGTCTACTGAATCTTTCATCCGGTCCAGCAAAACTTTGTTGAAAACGTTTCTTGGTACTGATAGTAATGTGATGTATCTGTAGTTCTCACATTTGTTCAGATCTTTCTTTGGTATCTTGATGCGGTATCCTTCTTTTCAGTTGGTTAGAACGTGTTCTTACTCCCAAATCTCTTTGAATAGAACGTGGAGCATCTTTACAGTTGCTTCTGTGTCTGAATTCATTACTTCAGCTGATATGTTTTCAGGTCTTGCTGCTTTCCCGCTCTTAATCTTTCTGATGGTCGTCCTGATTTCTTTTATCATTGGTAGAGTGACATCTATGGGAATGGCTGTGTTCTGCTTCTATGTCCTGTGGATTCAATGGGGCTGGCCTATTCAATACTTCTACCCATATGTTCCTCTTTTCTTGAATCTCAGTGATTGGCTTGCCTTCTTTATACATGACTAGTCGCTCTGGTTTACTATATTTCCCTGCTAGTTTTTTTATTACTTCATATAGCTGTTTCACCTTTCCTTCTCTTTCAGCTTTTTCCGCTGTCGTCGCTCTTCCACGTATTTCTGCTTGTCGCCTGTAATGCTTTTCTTCACTTACTTGTTTGCTTCTGTGCATTCAACCTATGCCTTGACTTCCTCTGTTCTTGTTCAGCTGGTTTCGTGTTTTTCCTTTCCTGAATCTTATTCAGGGTTTCGATAGAGATCCATTCCTTATGATGACGCTTCTTGCGACTCAGAACCTTCTGACACGTTGAAGTTGATGCTTCTTTGATCCATTTTCAATTTTCCTCCATAGTAGTTTTTTTTCTTTTTTCAGTAGATCTTATAAGGCTTGGAATCTGTTGTCGAGAGCTATGTTGAATTGGTTGAGTTTACCAGTATTTTGAAAGAAGGCTGTATTGAACCTTTATACTGCTGGTTCTGCAGTTGTCCAGTGCTTCCTTATCTTCAGTTCCATCTTAACAACCACCTGATGGTAACCTGAAGCTGTCACACCTCTTCCTGGTTTTTAGACCTTCCATGAAAATTCTGAATTTGTTAGCAATCATATATGATCAATCTGGTTCTGTATAGTGTGATCTGGTGAGACCTGTCTAGCTTTGTTTACTCGTTTGTGGGGGAATTAGTGCCAATAATAACCGTTTTGTTGAATACACATTAATTTGCAAATATTTCGCCATTTTCGTACCTTCTCTACGCCTGTAGCTCTTCTAGGTTTACTTCCAGTCTTAACTACGGGTAATAGAGGAGGTCTGAACATGGAGTCAGTAAACCTAACCCGTAGAAAACAGTTTTGCTAAAAAAATGAGTCGAAACGTATCTCAACTATATCCAACAGCGAGTCAATTACTTCAGGATAGTAAGATGAAGGGTAGTGACGTGTCAAATTTATAAACACAAGTATAATATATGATCAAACATCATCACTTCACGACTGCTATAGCGTACCCATCCAGAAAAAGCTTAAATTTTAAACAAAAATAGCTTCAAGTCTTGAAGCTTATCGTTTAGGTGGCTAACTTCAAAATTTCTGGTGAATTTTATGTGTTCAACAGACAATTCATGAACTCACCATCAATAATGTTTACTTATATATATTGAGTTACTGATAAAACACAGATGTGTAAAGATATTCTGAACTTCAAATGTCAGCGGAACTGTTACTCATTGTTATTACTGATAAAAGTGACATACTTTGAAAGAAGTTGAAGTATAACCGTTTTCGCACAATTCGACAGTTTTATTAAACAGTATTTAAAGCTAGGGTATTACTTTTTAGTAAAAAATATAATTTTGAACATTTTATGTTGATGTTAGTTTACTTCAAGCATTGAATAGATCTAATGACTGAATCTATTATAAAGATTAATGCACCTGATGACAATGATGAATTTTAAGAAATATTCTAAGATCTTAACGCATGTCTGCCCACACTAATGATTAATTTCAAATAACCATATCAACTACTAAACAATAGTATGAAGTTTACTAAAAACGAATCTAAGGGAGTGGTGAGATAGTTATATTGTATGTGCTACCCATACAGACAGATATAAGGAGTATGTTTCTGGCATTGGAAGTAGAATTCTTACTGACAGAATAGGAAAATGAGAAAAAGAGAAGGGAAAAGTGAAAGTAGAACGATGTAGTTCGTAAAAGACAATTCAAGAAAGGTGCGCAAACAGTGTGTCTGATGCATTGTTTTCATATTTCACAAAAACATTGCCTAATTTTGTATAACATAATTTATTTTTCCTGCCTAAGTCTTCGTTCAGTACAGTATTATCATTTCTGATCAATGAATATTTGCTTTACCTTGATCTAATGTATTTCATTATTTGAATGTCAGGTTCCATTGTGCATCATATTTTTATGCTGGTCACTTTTACTAACTTCATTCCCACATTTACCGTTGATATTTGGACCTCAAATCAAAGTTGGTTTTGGTATTTGGTTATGTGGTCTCTATTTATTAATTAGTGGTGTGCTTGTCTATGCACCAACTGCTACAGAAACCTTATTTGGACCAATTAATATGGCTGTAAACTACGGATTAGTTTTCAATGCATTTGTAAGTAGATTATTTTGTTGGTATTTATTCCACTTATAAAATTTTCATTTTCCACAAGATGGATGGAAAAGAGTCAACCCATGATTTGAATAAAAATCCTTTCTTATCATTTAAACTTTTTAAAACAAAACTCGAGCTAGTAGGCTTGGAACAAATAAGATGTTCGAATTATTTTGCAAGTTTACCACCTATGATAAAAGTGTGATAATGAGAGAGTGTAGCTCGTGTAGACAAATTTGGTTATGCCAGTTGGTTTAATCTTATAAGCTGCCTACCATAAAAATCTGTAATCGTTTAATTAATAAAATATTTAAAAGTGATAAATAAACTTCTATAAACCGTAAGATGATTTTGTTCTGAGTTTCTTTATCTACTTGAGATTTGATTGAGAGGCATAACACATTCAGTTTATGTATTCACACAAACACAAGACCACAAAGATTTTTCTAGGAATGTACATAAACAACAACTTGATCAGATGTATAATTTTCTCATTGTTATGTTTCTAGTAATTACAGTAAAAATGAATCGAATGACCACCATAAAATCATTTTTGATATCTCGATAATTTTTCGAAACGTTGTGAATCATACTTGGTGAATGATTTACAGTTTATAAGGCATTTTTTTAACAACTTTTGATCAAATTCAGTAAAACTTTTGAGATCCTATTGTAAGCTTGAATGTTTTCTCTATGATATTTTTCATCTACATATTGTCAAGATGAAATCGAAAATAATAATAATGCAGCAGAGATAGAAGGAACACATGTGAAAATCTTGTAAACTATAAACATAAACGTTTATGCCACTGAGCTGGCATCCAACGGTGTTAATGTTTAACTTCAACCAATCCACGAAATCGCGCCACCGGACACCATTGTCTTCAGTGAGCTGATATCCCACAACAGATCTGGTTGAACTCCACAGGTCACGGCTTCTCACTAGAACTCCAGGAAATGCCTCTTAAAGTTAGTCATTAGTGAGCAGATGATTATTGTCAGGAGAGGCTTTTGTCGGTTCGAATCTCACGGAAAGCGGGATCGTGAATGCGCACTGCTGAGGAGTCCCATACCAGAACGAAACGGCCGTCCAATGCTTCCAGGTTTTCCATAGTGGTCTAGCTTCAATTGACTCATGATTTCAACTATTGAAATTTCTAAAAAAATCTCCACAAAACCCCTTCTGACAAAACGTTTATGTCGATATTGTTATGCATCAATTGACTTTATAAGAAAAACAGACAGACCATAGTTTTATAAGTAACGAAAATGTGTTGTTTGTCAAAGTACTTACATATTTGATTTAGTTTGTTAATCACAAAGCAAGTATATAATGTTTCATTGATATTCCAACACATAAAAACATAATTTCGAAAAGTATTAAACTATTCCGTTCAATAATGGTTAATCTTCAGAAAAAATACGAAAACACTGTCCAAGAAAGACGTAAATTTCAGGTCATTATATTTGTTAAAAGTAGTAAAAATGTAGCAATTCTGATATTCACCTCATAGTTTTTTAAATATAACTTTGAACATCTTTTTCCCGATATCTTTTCTTCAGTCAAAGTTAGGCAATTAATTAGCTAGTGAAAATTAATTGATAAGTACTATTCAAGCCATAAATTGGTCACATTTTATCTCAACTTTGACTTTTTTAAACCAAATTCTGCAACTTCATATTTTTTACATTACAATCCAAAGAATCCCTATGGTATAAAGTATGGACTAGTTTGCATATAAACAAAAAATGCTATGATACTTTTTGAACTTTATTCAACCCTGAGATCACTGTAAAATAAGTTTCTTGAAAGCATAATAACAAGTGAGAAATCGTGTTTATCTCCTTATTGAAAAAGATCAATATGAAAATACTTGAAAATGTCATTTTTTAAATATGATGTGATAAGGAGCATTAAACTTCCATGCACGATGTTGAGATGTAAGGTGGACTTCTGTGCTCAATAAGTAGTGTGTGATTGTTTCAACAAACTGAGTTGGTGAAATAGAAGACTGAAATAATTTAGATGGTCATTACATGAGAAAACAAGTTGGATCAGCAGTTAAAATCAATTAAATAATTATCAGAGTATAATCTGTATTTCATCTTGAGCATCTGGTGAATAAAGTATGTTATACAGCTACTGATTTATATCACCCTAATTTGCAAGGTATTATATATATGATAGAAAATTGCTAAATATTATCCCTAAACCTTCTAATTTGCCGTTTTCATACATCCTGGAATTCTTCGCATGCTGCTTCTGGGTAATAATTTCTATATTATAATAATAATAATAATTCAGTTTGTCGATGATAGTATTAGTTTAGCTTAATGTCAGACAGCTCTGAAACAGTATTTTTACTAATACGTAAAACCAATTTACAGAAGGTCATTTAATTTTATTCATATATGACCATATTTCTCACCCATTTGATCAAGTTTCCGAGTTAACCTTTTGATAATTCTGACCCATGAATAACCATATGTCCCTGCAACAGCTAAGTACCTGTTACTAGGTCAACCCAAGCTGTCGAATAAAGTATCATCACTACCTCCAAAGTTCAACAAACAAATAGAGGCTTTTTCAAAAAATCTATGCAGCAATTACTACCACTTATATATCTCCTTTTACTTCGCGTTGTTTGTTTTTTATTGCTAATAATAATGTAAATTAACTTCATTAAACTATTTCTGGACAAATTCCTTAATATTTATCAACGAATTTACCATTTTTTTTAAAATACAGCTCTTATATGAGATTCTGTTTTGATACTAATCTTGGCGACTAGTATCACAATCACCATTTATGCGACTATTTATAAGTATTCTCAATCGACAATTAAAAAGCGGGCTAATTTTTTAAGAAAATTCGTTTTATCAAAAATTTGCTGTACGATGGACTAGATTGTACACCGATTTTCATATAATACGTGTAGCTAAGTAAAGTTACTATTTTGTGAACTAAGAGTATTCAGTTTTAGTACCTTTTTATTATTAATTATTTTCATTATACTCTAGGTTAGTATAGTACATATGTACACTTATATTTTATGCTATGTTTCCTATACATACACAAATAGGTATTCGGTGGTCTATTCGTTTCGCTATTGTCCATCCTAATTCCACAGTTTCATGAATGGGATAATCTATTTTACCTATGTGCTGCAATGTGTATTTTAGGTACGTTATAACAAAAACCTTTAATTGTATCATGTATCATTATCCTGTATCAACTTCAAGAACGAAACGGCTCACTCGTTATAAATAGTTAGAATCAATTTAAAACGAGCATTGTTTTCTATTAATTGGTGGAGGTTTCAACTAACTTAACAAAACATACGTTTCTACCATGAACTCGTATTCCGAAATAATTAACTTAACACTTAGATAAATTTCAAGTGTATTCTAGTTATACTGACTTCACTATTTTATAGAAACGTACAATATCAGTGACAGGAAAGTGTATAAAGCATGACCAAAACTCGGTTTACCAAAACGAAACATTTTTCAACCTTAAACGTTTCAAGCAAAAATTCAATTCTGACCTACATTTTGTTTCTTGGCTAAAACTGTCATTTGGGTGCTAACAATCATTTTGAAAATACGTACGATTCACTGTACATTGATGACCTGTCTAAAAAAGAATGTCCTGACGTTCTGATATGAATTCCTAGTTTTAAAGGTTTGTCATGTAGGATGTGACAAAAGATTACAGTAGTCAGTATCGGTGAAGTTGTAACATAAGCGTATTCAGGCCCCCTTGAGGCACTTTTTGTTCAAATTAGAAAATATTTTCGGAATTAAACTAAAGCTATAAATATTGTAATCAACTGTTTATTACCTACACATACGCAACGTCACCTTTCTGCAGAGCACTGCTAAAACGTAATTTCAACATAATAAATCAAAACGATGAGCTTAAAAAATTAACTTACCGGTTTGGAAAATCGTGAATTACGGTGAATGAAATCAGGACATAAAATTTAAGTAACAACACTTTATGTACATTATGCGATTTGTTTTCATCGATACAATTGTTAGCACTCCAGCACGTTACAAAAGGAATTGTAGTAAACACAAACCATGTATTATTTATCAAATATCTTTCACTTGAACAGCTATCAGGTTTAAAAATTGGCTAGTGTATAATGTACCGTATTGGAAATGTAACCATTCACTTTAGAAAGATAAATATTGTCATGTGTTTATTATTATCAACAAGAGTTCTTTGATATGAACCTATCAGAACAAAACGTAGTCTGCTTTGGGACATCCACATAACATTTTACTTGACTTTTTGTATTCTTTGTGATAAATTTCCAGTCGACCTTTTCAAGCTGAACAAAATTGACTGTGCACATATCTCACATAAAAAAAGAGAGTGGTAATAATGAAAAGTGAATAATTCACATATCGGTGACTAGTAATTGCTCAGTACACTTGATCTAATCATTTGTTCACCATAGATGGCATCAAGGAGAACAGAAGTGGTGTTAAATAAGTGTACGTTAACGAGTTCAAACGAGAACACATCTAGAGTAAGGGGTTTTATGCCTACCTCTGAAAACCATAGAATAATAAGTTAGGTTGGTTATATGTTTTTTATATAATGATGGATTATTTCGAAAATAATAATAACTTGCTTTGCTGAGTCCTTGTAGTAGTGATTTTGGTTAATAGATTTCTTGTTGAGTAGTAATAATCATTTCATCAACCATCAACCATAAGTTCATTTCCTGTAAGTATTTAATTTAATGCCATAAGCCATAGATATTCAACCACTAATCAAACTTCTTGTAACGATTTGTATTTTGGATACAGCTTAGTAAAAATGAGTAGGTCTCAGTTTAGACTTTTAGAACTTTAAATTTTAATCCATTTAGTAAAACATTTATTTAGTTTGAATCTATTTCCTTTTGTGCAAAAGTTAGTCATCAGGTAGTAAGTTTTGATCAATTGTATGTTGTGTTTAGAACACTTTTCAATCTCAGTTATAACTTTTGTCTGTTCTTTTTAATGATTATTACGCACAACATCATATTGCATTATACTCATTAAATGAAAATATTTCTTTTACCCTAGCTTTATTAATTGTGCCATGGATACATGATAGGAAAATGCCCAAATATTTCAGCTTGTTTCGATTTTATAGGCAAAGTCACAGTTGAATTCTTCTAATAACTTGTTCGACAAATATCCTGGAAAATTATCATAGTTTTTTTAACAGGGAAACACGAAACTTATCTTTTATTGGTATTATTTCAAAAAAATAATTTCATCTGAACAAATGGACAGAATTAATAACCTTTTTTTATAAAATTAGCATATCTCAGAAAATACATGGTCCCTTTCATCGATTTACATTTGATTTGCAAAACTTTATCAATCGCATGTACCAGATAATGATAATAATCACTTAATACATTATAATTATGTCATGGAAATTATTTACCGTCTGAACTAACTTACGAAATTCAGTCGAATGTTTAGCCGAATTCATTGTTATTTAATTGAATGATGAGTATTTTCATACTGGCAGGGTTTCTTTACTTAAAATTTTTCCATTTCATCTCATTATCCACAATAAATGCCTTAGGCAGATGCATATTCATTCACTGGAAGATTTAATGAAGTTCTAGGATTGAATATTGTCATTTATATTTACAGAATATACAAATATAACTTTATGAATGTATGTGTTGAATTATATTATTTATGCTCGAACCTGACTATCCCATATCATAATATCTCAAACTCTAGATTGTTGGTGTTCTAAGCCAAATCACTTGAACACTTATGTCTAATCAACACAATTATGTATATTATTCATCATATCACCTCATTTTGTTTTAATCTCAATAACCTTCTTACCATTTATGTGATTCATCAACGGTAGTTATCCCGAATTCTTTCAAGATAAACAGTATCCTTAACATCCACACACGGCTAAGTGCCATGACAAACGCGTCAATTTTAAGAATCGTTTAAAAACCATAGGCTCGGTCATCTATGTCGCATTTCCTATGACTCAATAAGTACAATATAAACTAAACGATCCTAAAACAAAATACCGTCATTCCTGCTATTTACTATTTATTGACACAGAAAGTTATTAAATATTTGACAGAAGATTAAAATCGATAACGTCAGCAATGCAGCAAAATGGATAGGGATAAGAAAATAGATCGGTTGTAACAAGTAGGTATGCATAACCAAATGAGCTAATATTTAAGAAAAACAGAGAATAATAGAGTTCGCGCCACTGTAAACACTTTTACGTCTTGTCTTCTACAGCTACAAACCACTGATTTTTGAAATTTCAAAAGCACAAGTTCTTTATTCATTGTTGGATACTAAATCTTATTAACTCGAATCTCAAAATCCACTTTACAAATAGCTACAAATACTAGGTAATCACGCAATCTTATTTGAAAGTATTTGATCAGATCAAAAAATACACTAAAGTCATTCCATTTTGACAAAGCAATTGGCTTACTGATACAATAAATGTTTCAGATCCAATCAAATGATCATTACGTCCATTTTGAATTAGTTTCAATTATAAACCAAAAGGTTCATGACATAACATAACTCATGATCGAAAAATAATGTCCAGTATAAACTAGGTGAGCAAAACCAATTAAATCATTTGCGACTTTTTATCTTGAGCACAATCTAATATCACTTTCTGGAAAACAATGATGTTATTTTTTTATCTCATTACATAGAAGAATCAGGATATTTTTACTGAATAAATTTTACTATCTAAAACCTCAAAACTTAGGTATGGATTTGAAAAAGCCTAATATTCCTATGAACCAAAAAATAGCAGTAATGAAAGTGTGGTAAAAATCCAAAGACTACTAAAAAGAAAATAAGTGTACGACAACCAACTTTGACTTTAACAATTCAATGTATAGTCACAGTAACAACTACCACTTTTGATCAGCACAATCGACTAAAAATAAATATCGTACAAAGCATCGCGTGATAGCATGATCGTTCTGAAATCAGTATCCAGAGATTATTCTGGAAACGTGTATTAAGAATGACCCAGTTTATATGCAATTACTTTTTACAAGTTCAAATTTACTAGAATCAAATAAAATGACAACAGTGTTGAAGGCGCAATTTTAAAGCAATCAACAAGTACATTGAAAGCGATCCAACTTACCAACCAATATGGAAAATTATGGACAAACATAGGACCAAAAATCAAACCAATGGAAAATACAACCAAAAAAAGGAAATAATGACAGATTTAAGCTCAACGAGAACCAATAAACATCGAGGTCTACAGGACAAGCTGTGAACCATATGTGGGGAAATTCGAACACTTGTGCTGACGATGTTGTTCAGAATAACGATGAAAGCTCCACGACCAAACCATCCAGCTCAGAGAACAAAACCCCATCAAAAGTTTCTAGGATACTTTATTCTTGTTAGTTTTTACACGGAAAGAAAGCAGATTATATGGAAATGACAGAACAACACCACCGACACAACAAATAATGTTATAACCAAACATCCGTAAAATATGTATATCTTACTATGTAATAAAGTCAAAACGTGAGGCTTTACCCATGTTACCTCAAAACTTCAGTTAACTGTCAGATGATTAAGAACTCTGAAACCCGAAAACAATGTAATAAAAGTTAACTCCCCTGTAGTTATTACAAGAGTTTTCCTTTTATTTTTGCAGAATAAGGTGACCAGACAAATAGAATACGTCTTACAACGAGATAATCGCTAATACTTTGTTAGACTTAACGCAGAAATGTTGACCGATCTACCTCTTCCCATGTTCGTTACATCTATTATGCCTTTATTGCAATCTAAAGTCTGATGTCAACTTGGCAGCCATCAACGGGAGCGTGACTGACCCTTAGAACGACGACATTTATCTACAATTTTTCACTCGTTATTACTAATAGCTGACCCATTAATCTCACTGTCACCTACCACTTTTTTTTCTATTTCATCCATGTTTATTACTCACCACCTCTCAGCATTACCATATATACGCTTCAGAACCCAAAACGTTTTGCGCTCTTTTATTATTAAAACCAAGAGAAGAGTGTTTCTGTGATTCTAAGTTTAGAATTCTCCATAACGATCCGCTGGTTTTCCTTCCTTCATTTCAAAGCTTTCAAATATCGAAACAGTAGACCTACACGTCACAAATATTCTTTAGTCGAGTCAGTATGTTTCGACAAGGTTGTATACATGTCACACTGAAAATTTAAACTAGGGAGAAACCAAAATTGTGGGTTTATCACCCACTAATTCAAACCAAAATTTACTGCATAATCTACAATAATCATTGTAAGTTAACAAGATATGTTCAAGGAATAATAATTCCCGATTTCGTAATGTTCTTAGCTTTCCGCTGTAATCTGCGTAACCGAACTTATGTGGCAGCAGTTTTCAACACATTTTGACTTTCTTTGGTGACCACAGAAGGTTGTGCAGGATCAACAACAGTTTCTGTAGTCTTGCTCTTTTCTATTTGATGTACCGAGCTATCTGACATGTAGAATGGTACTTTAAACACAAATTTTGTGGATTCGGGTTTGATATTCTGCTTAAATTCCAGAGCATTATCCTCCAAGTAATACCATTCGCATCGAGAATAAGGAACGGGTGCTTCAGATTTGTATTCGTTTTCTCTAAAACATAGTAGATCCCGTTTACCACCCATTTTAGATAATCGTACGTACGGTGAGTCAGTCGACTTGAGATGCATTTCATGTTTTTCCTCGTGGATGGACTCTTCAGGCATAAAACCAATACTTGGAATTTGCGAAATCGGGGGAGATAACTGTTGCACTTTATTTTTCCTCAATGGAATAACATGACACATCCAACCAACATCTTTTAGGTTAGTTTGAGCGCTCATTTAAGTTCAAATATCTAGTAATCATGAAAGAAGAATATCAAGATGAAAATGTATGTTAACGTCGATTACATAAAACGGATTTTTCTCACGTATATGTGTGTTTAAAATACATAATTTTCAACCAGGCTTCTGTGGTTGAATATTTTTAGTGACCTGGGATTTGATTTGAGTTGGATTGTTTCCGATTGCTATTGAGATACACATATTGTTATTCCTCGTATATATTTATAGTCACACAAAATTATGCTAAAGACACGTGATGAATTGGGTAAGAAGGGCACTCACGTATGCGCTCATATAAAAACAGTCAAGATTGATAAGCGAATAACTAACAATGTCAAAATGTGACTCTAGTAGAATGAATAGACTGGCCTGTCCGAAAGCTAGAATAAGGTATATGGGCTTAACATGACAACCGAAACTACAATTTCTGTCAAAATACGAGGTTGCTTTAAATAACACGGCAGTTTAGTTTTCTGAAATCTTTCTGTGACAACTGGCAGTGCACTTTATGGAACATATTTTGTCTTATTCCATATTTTAAAATAGACATCTCCGATTTATGTTTTTAATTGCATTTCACGTAATATTTATTATTTATCACAGCTACATGACCTATTCGCAATGTATTCTGTATTTTTTTTATAAAAAGTAGTACATTACGAAGAAGATATGCTTATCATAACTAAAGAGTTTGACGAATAACCTATTGATTTTTGAAACACTGATTGCTGCATTAAAACCTTGGTAAAACATAAACACCGAAATGCGTAAACATAGATTTGAAAAGCCGGGACAAGAAAAACATGCGTGTGGATTTCATTGTAAAGTAGTATCAACATACAATTAAGACTTCAGTTTACTTATTTTTCATGGGCAGTTAGTTACACGCATTGTGAAACTTGACATATGTTTACATTGGTTAAAGTTACCACATCCCATTAGCACAGCAAGATGAAATTGTCTGAATAAATCCTAGAGTAGTACAGATAGTAATAACATTATCGACAGTAGAAAAGATTAGGTATCGCAGATACAATTTGAGAAGAAAATATGCATTGATTCAACAAAAGTTTCTAGGCAGTTTAGAGACCTAAGGTCTAAGGGAAGTGAAAGATTGAATACATTTGAGCCACTTCACTATAGTTTTCATCTATTATCTACTATATGCAATCAGACCCCAACCAGGTAGCCCATATTTGTTTGTTTGGATCAGTTCAATATTTGATGCCCCCAGAGAGTAGTCTGACATTTTTTATTCGATCAACCATAACTTTCCTCCGAACCAGCCATCACAGCGCGTCAACTTGTGCGGATAATAGGCATACGAAATACACGTTACAACCACCTCGGTCGATAAATATCCATTATTTCACTATTCAATTTGCCATCCTTACCTATTACTCCTTATTTATCTCAGCATTAATAACTCGACGGTATCAACATCTAAGGGCAATGAATACTAGTAACAGACAAATATCCTCGAATTGTAAAGATCGTTTCTCAACTATCAAGTTGAACGAAACAAAGAGCTTCACAGAGTACCCTTCTTTTATTGTAAGTAAACAAAAAGTCTCGTAATAGATCGATTCTCGAAACCTTAGTTGATAACAAAAGAGAAAAATATATTGAATATACATGTCTAAATATGTGGACTCAGGACATTTCCTAAGATGCATATGTCCAATCTTTGTTGTATTCCGACATGCCTAGTGGTAATTACAAATAGCTTGCGTTATACAATTAAGTGGTGTGCTCTATGTGCTTATGTTTATTGTCCCTGCTTCGGTTTGGGC